AAATTTTTGACAAGCATAATGTCTCAACTCAGACGGCCAAAACACTGAGGAGTGTTACCGTCTACAGTTCAAAATATTTTGAAAAGATTCAAAGACATGAGAGACATTTCCGAGCATTAAAGCCAAAGTTTGAATCCACTGCTGAAGGTGGATTATCTTCATTAGAAACGTCTCTCTACACGATCGGCTGCGTCATTAGAAAATACTTCATGAGATCGTAACATGCAAAGAGAACGATATTATTGAACACACTGTTGGAGTTCATCAGGGCCAATATGAATTGAGATGGATCGAAAGACAACTAAATTGTGTTCTCAGGTCAAATGAGTGCATGTTTCAGCTTGATTTTAATACAAACAGAAATGGATCTTATGAGCCAAATATTAAAAAAGAAAAAAGTCTGAGCATTAACGTCAAAGCCTGCATCTGTGATTTTACAGTGGGAGACAATAGCCATGTAGTGGGGACCCCAAAGGAAAATAACATCTTGTCCTTTACCTGATGTTATTTGGGACTAGCTGAGGTTGACCCCATGACCTCTGACAGATTTAATAATGAATTAAAGTAAAACCAATAAAAAACAAATACAGTAAATACAGTTAAAGTTTACCGTAAGTAATTGGTGCCAGTATTCGTGGTTGCTACAACACGACCCCAACTTTGTTGACCACATACGTATTCTGTAACACCACAATGACGTTGAAGGCTTCTTTGTGCTTAGTTAGCACAGGGAATAATTGTCCTGCGCTAACTAAGCACCGGCATCAGTCCAAGGTTTTAATGTTTGGAACATCTGAGACGGCTTTTGTTGACTGCTTCAACCACACTGTCTCAACAATTCCTGAAATCAATAACCCAGCATTAGCCACTGGTAACTCCATCAGACCAGATGTGGCCAACACTGAGCTGAAGGAGGAAAAGAGTCAGATTTTTTTTTTTTTTTCCACTGGACGGAAAAATGTCTGCATTAATTTGCTTCATCAAAAGACAAATTCTCTTTTCAGTGCAGTTCGCCGGGGTTGTTCTGCCTGGGTGAGAAACGAAGGGCGGAATTGTACTTTCACACATGTTTTAATTCAGAGTCTTTCCATTAGGACCCCTTAGAGTGAGAGGAAATTGTTCACTAGAAAAATAAAGCTCAGGCCATCTGCCTTCTTTCAACTTTCTTATTGCGAGTAATCTTGAAGTTTCTCAAAACTGTTCCTGCGCCATGTGTTCCGTGAAAAGTCAACAGAAAACGGTTTTCACTATTTACTACATTCTTTCTAATGAATGTATTGTTCTGAATCACTAACACACACCCACTCCTACTTTCACACAGGCTGTCCTTCAGGGGGGATGTCTGACACAGATCCCTGCCGAGCTTAAAGAACACGGGACAAAAGTTGAGGGCAGACGGGGCGTCTGCTACAAAGAAGGGGCAGAAAGGGTTTTATCGAGAAAAGAAAAATCTCCCATGTAGATTAATAAAATTACCCTGAGGTTCTTCTACACACACTCTGAGCTACAACCCCCCCCCCCCCCACACACACACACACACACATACACAGACGGAATAGCAAAGGTTTGCCTCACCTGCTGCCCAGCAACAACTGATGAGAAAAAAAGAAATCTCTAAATATTAAAATTTCTTGGGTAACCTGGGAGTTTGAGTCCCAGAATTCTGTCATTTTCCCAGCATAGTAGAGGAAAGAACATTTAAACTTTGTAACCCCGTCAGACAGTGGCTGGTTTCACTCACCGACATTTCCTCTCATCTACAATCAACACCGTCGCTACTTTGTTTTTTTTTTTCACACTCCTGTCATACCTGGCACTCTGGAGCGGAAACATAAAATGAAGGAGTATCTATAGAGTACAGACTAGACAAAAAAAAAACAAACGCTGACATCTGGCTGAAAACTATGATTGCAAGGTGAAGCCGTGAAAGTGGAGCACAGGTAGAGTTATTTTTCATGAATGGAAGTCTTTGTGTTTGGCAACGACATTGAATTCTAGTCCATTCTGGAGGTATTTCTGGAGAATTTATGGTCTTAATCATGATAATCTAAGAAACGCATTCAATTTCTTTCTTTCTTTTTTTTTTTTACAATTTTCACATTTACAAACATGAACCCTTCAGAGAATTTTAAGAATGTTATTTTAATGCATCTATCCGGGACATTATTGGTTGGTATATAAATGGGATCTTTAAAATGTGTTTTTAAAAAGCATATTATCACTTATTACTTGTAATAGCTATCATTTTTAAGACAAATGTTTAATCACTTCACATGAATTGAAAGGTCAGCTATAATACCTATGATGTCAGTTGGGTGGATCTGCTTTTATTGTTTGGCATCTTTTTGCATTTGTGCATAAGTCAACAGTTTCAGAGAGTCATCCATATTTATTGAAATATACTTTGTAGAAACTTTGGTCCACCGCTGCTACATGAAACACCAGTCACACTCCACCGTCCAACTGCTGCACCTGTCCCAGTCCAGTTTGTATCTAATCCTCCCTGTGTTAGTGCATAATAGGATTTCAGGAATCAGAAAGCATCTGCTTGAACTTCTATGTCCTGTATTTATGTATAGTATGTGCGCAGGTCTATTTTCATAACACTGTCCACCCCCTGCTGCCCCACGCCATGATTTCTCTATGCTTACTTCACACCGAGAGAATGAATAGGATTGACACAGGGATATTTGCACCTTTAATAGACGCAATGTCAGGAAAAAAAAAAAAACTACTGAGCTACTATGTTTTCACAGACCCCAGTCAGGCATGTGCTATCAATTGCTGTCCACACCGAGGCCTGTCTAATTCATAAGCTGATGACAGGACAGTGGATCAGTGTTGTCACAGTCATCTGGGAATTTTATGAGTCATATTCTGGGGAATGAATATTTGCGGAGTTCATAGGCTTCGGTCTTGTATGGCAGCGATATGTTTGCTTCACTGATGCAGTTGAGTATCAAGGGCTCGGTGTTCATGAGGAGGCCCAGATAACTGGATTAGTTCAATGTGGTATGGTTATAATAGCTGGGCAGCCACGCTGCTGCTGTTTCTAACTAGAGCTGATCAATGTTAAGTAGAGTTAGCTTCTAATAAACTTTGACTCGCAGGCCCCTAAACCTCCACTTAAGCTCTTCAAATGTATGTCATAATTATATCATAGACGGGAGAGGGCTTTTTTATTTTTATTAAACCTGTCATTATAATGTTAAACTGCCCTTTCACTATTTTTCTCTCCTGGTTTGGTACATAGCCATTCATCTTCCCTGCGTCTATGCTGTCAAAATGACTGCTTCTAAACCTCAGGCATCCTAACTATGGCAAACCAACAACAACCTCAAAGCTAACAAGATACACTCTGGAGAAGGGCGAGTTAAAAAAGTCTGCACACTGAAGGCTGTTCTACAGAACACATGACATGGTCAAGTAAGAGTTATCAGACATGATTCGAGGGAAATTTGGACTGGATCACATGGCTAAAAGGAGCTTTTAAAGTCTGTCACTGAAATCAACTAAATCCATAATGGAGTACAGTCTGTCTGTAAGGTCGTGATCAGTGTGTACCAAGAGAAGAAAGACAAGTTCAAGTACAAGAAGCACGTGTACAGGAAGGATAAACATGGGGAGAGTCTTCACTTTTCAAAAGCACAGGTTCAATTTTATTACATAACTATTGTTTAGTTACATTATCTTAATGTACTCGTTAATGTACTGCGGCAAATGTCTGAGCATGGACATGGATTACATTAATTCCTAAGGTCTCAAGTGTGGTTGTCATTTAGTTAAAATAAGTAGTTTTTTAATTAGAAAAATTACTCAAATTCTATTTATTTTGTCTTTTTTTTTTATTTCACTGCAGGAGAACAGGTTCAAAGTCAGAATGAGGCTTGACCAGCGTCTGGTGCAGTATCAGAGGGGAGGAGGAGGTGTTGTGTTCATTCAGCCTTAGTTGGGAGGGTTTGTGCACCTGCCCGATTTCATTTACAGGTGTCGACTGATTCTCTCACTGGACGGTCACAGGGACTGACCAAGTGACCTTAACCTTCTGCACCCCAGTGCCACACACACCCAAACACACACACACATGCGCCTACCCCCCTGGGATGGTAGGGTTTGATCAGACTGGGCACAAAGACCAGCTTTATTCTTCAACATCCCATCCACCAAAGTACTGGGACAGAAAAAAAGGTGGGGAGGAAACCATGTCATTTTTCATAAAACTTCTGAGTGTTCCACCTTTTTTTTCCCAATTATTTGGAGGCAGGCATATTCCAGGTTGAAGTGAGTTTAGTTTAGTTTAGTTTAGTTTAGAACATTGTTGCCGTCTCTGTTGCGTGTGACTTGGTCCAGAGTTAGTGCAGGACAAACAGGGAGATGTTCTCATGAACAGAGAGCCCACAGTGTGTTTGCATTGCTTTAGCCAGCACAATGACTAATGAAAGACCAGAAGCCACTTTGAGGAAAAGCACTGCATCTGTGCATACTGTTTCCCCCATAAACATCAACACACTAGTCAGACAAATGAGGCTTCAGCGTTGCTTCACACCACTCCATTACAATCTCCAGAGATTACAGTGAACCAAATCTTCAGCTGTAATTTGGACACTATTTGCCAGGTTTTCATAGAAGAGCAACACATAAAAAGACAAGGGATAAAAAGACAAGGGATAAAAAGACAAGGGATAATTATGCTCCCTATATTTGAATTTTTTTAAAGTTTAAAAGCAGCTCAGAAAGTTGATAAAGTTTGTTCCTAATTCTTCCTCACTGAAATGTGTTTTCATTAAATCTTAAAACACTGGCCAAATCATAGTTGGATTCAGAAAGAAAAGGTCAAATTCTTTACTTCATCTTGAAGCATTGATATCATTGTCTGACTATCATGTCAGTGTTTCCCAAGCTTTTATGGAGCTAACTCCCTCTAGAGGTAACAACCTGAAATGCTGCTTCAAACAGATAATTATGTCCCCACAGCACATTGTTTGAAAAAAAAAAAAAAATCTGAACCACTATAACAACTATATAGTTAAAGCGTGGAGTTCTATAAGGATGAACCTGAGGGGATCAGACTCACTCTGGTCCGGAATAGAATTGTTTTTTATTACAGCATATTGCAAGGAAAATATTACTCAACAATAGGAAGTGAAATTAAACAGTTTTGGGAGATGTTGTTCATACATTGTATAGTTATCAACGACTAAGTAAGAGTTAAAGTTGATCTTGGAATTTTAAAATTCCAACCGTTAACAATTATTGGTAAATAACGGTCGAAAGTGAGATAGTAGAACAAGGCAAAACTCTGAGCACCAAGCACCCTCAACAAGACATTCAACACTTTTATACAAGACAATTTGAAATTCAGTTTGCAAAACGAGATTCCCAAAGAGCTGGATGTGGAAATCACATCATGACAGAGAGGTTTATAAAAAACAACATCTGATCTGATTATTTTGATTTTGACTATAGAGGAGGGAAGCGTGACTGCAAACTAACACGTCACTGTTAACATGCATTGAAACATTTGAAGGGAATTTTACTGCATGATTCTTCATTTGGATTCATTTTCGGGGATGGATCCACACTGTACTGTTAGCTGTCGGTATTGAGGAATGTTGACACCTAACATGTACACTAACCGATTTTCAACGCGGGTTTCATTGGTTAAATTGATTAACATCGTGAGTACAGATACAAATGAGTTGTGGCCAATTTAAATGTGCAAACCCTCTCTCCCCCTCCGTCACCTCCCCTTCTCTCTCTCTCCTATGAGCTCTAAAGTTTATTTAGAGGGCAAGCCCCCCGCGCGCGAGGGAGAGAGACAGCAGAGGGCTGGAGTCATGATCGGGCCAACAGGAGGGGAGTGAATAGGTCCCGCACGCAGAGCAGAAAAGCGCTCAAACTGCATGCGCAGGTTTACTTTGGTTCAGTCGGTCGTCCGCTGCAGCCAGACAGGAGGTGCGTGTTTGACAGCCAAAAGAAATATGGGACATCCATATTAGTAACTGAAAGTTTCGTTTTGTTGTTTTTGGTCACTTGGTTACTTTTACGCTCCGTTTCTTCAGCTGATGCTGAGATGAAGCTCAGACTTTTAGCGCGTCTGGCGCAGTAAGGCATCCACACACCGGGACGCACGGCGCAGCTCCTCAGAGAAACCCGGAGAGAGAGGGAGAGAAGGTCAACCTGGAGATCTACTAATGGATTTATTATAAACTTTGATTGCGTGAAAAATATTTGTTAATATACTTTTTTTGGGGGGGGTTTATGTTTACTAATGTGTAAATCAACTCTCTCCTTGTGCGCAACGGATGAGATTCGATCTATTTTTTTTCCTGCTTTTCTGTGTTTTTGGAGGGGATGTTCTGTATCGCAGCACGGATAACAGATAACTGTCTTTCTTGGCACTAATGAAGAATCTCTCCATGATGTTACAGTCTCATCGGCCCAGGTTTCATTGGGCCACGGTACACTGCCATCACTTCATATCACCACATAGCTGGGGGTCCTGTTGTGTTTAGGATTTACTAAACCTGCACCTTCTGCTGCCGACTCTGGACAAAAAAAAACAAAAAACGGAATCTTACTATTTAAGTGTCCCGGTGAAAATTTGACATTTGGCTCTAGGAGTCTCATATCTGGGCTACTATGCAATTACAACTGATCTCCTTTGTTTTGATCATCTTGCACTGCATGGATTACACTGGTGGTCAGCAGCACAGCAGCTCCAGGCACCGGCAACATAAACGTGAGTATAACGTGGGACGCAGCGCTGTGGTGCAGGTGTTTCTCACCTTGTATTCAATTGTTTTATTTTTTATTTTAGTAAAAACATGTCAGGTCCTGAAATATGTATTGACAAATTGCATCGTTGTTCTAATTTGACATAAAACAAGTTTTTATATTGATAACAAGGATAATGGTTTGAGTCTCGATAAACCACGGGGTGTGCGCGAAATGTTTCACTTTTAAATCTCACGTAAGAAAAATAATATAAATATTAAAGAAATATCCCGTATCAAATTGACTGTTAAACCTCGGAAAGATACTCACACCGTGGAACATCTTTATAGTACTCTAAGGGCATTTTGATTCAAATTATTATTATTATTATTATTATTATTAGATTACTTGTCACTAATTAATAATAATAATAATAATAACCTTTTTCTTTCAAAAGTCTCTGATTTGGCATTGGCATTCTGTCCTTCATGATGCATTTTAACATTTAATTATACATAATTAATTTACTCCGTGTTAGTTTTATGCCCATTAACAGTCCACTTTTTTTTTTACTATGTCGGACCTTTAATTGATGTTCACCTTTTTACGCAGACTCTCCTGATTCTCGTCGCTCTCTAGCGGTCAGAGCCGCAGACTTCACACAATGTCGCTGCCCGGCTGTCAGAACTGATCTGGTTGGAAATGGAGCTATACAGCTTCATTTTCTATAGACAGTGTGATTGCTTACTTGTGTTGTCCTCAATCTGCACCATTGGGTTTTTCGTTTTTGTGCTTATATTTATTCTTGTTTTTTTCTTTTAGAAAATAGGCTCAAATCTCCATTTCAAATATTCTTCCTCACCGTCCTTTCACACACAAATAATTCATTTTCACCCTGTGGTCCAACATGATGTGTCATCTCTTGAGATATGACCAGACTTTTCCCCCCCAAAACCATTTTTCTTTTCTTCTTCATATGCACACTTTATCACTGAGGGTCTCCAGATGTGTGCTGTGACTAAGTCTATTAGAGAAGAGCAATGATAGCTGGAATATTCCATGTATCACTTGCCAGCGTGGCTGAAAACTGTCTGAGATCTACAATAATATACCTTCAGAGTGATGTTTTTATCTTTGCCACCTGGGACTGGAACTCTCTTTATACTACCTTCACTTTACATTTGATCTTAAGAGTACGATTCCTTGTCTAGACCAGAAACTCCCGTTGTCTCTTTTTCCCACCTTGTGACCACCAAAGTGGACTTTCTTTTTTCTTAAAAAAAGGGAGCTGCAGCATCTGGGATGAACTGTGTGTTTATTATGTAGTTTTAAAGGGGTCACTGAGGCTACCTATACTTTTGGCAGTGTTGTTAAATGTAGTTTAGATCAGACCTGAAAAGCTCAGCTTGGATCCTTTTTCTGTTTAACGGGGCGAAACTTTAACATTCATGAAACAGCAGGAAAACATACAAGACTAGTAGCATGCACACTTCTTTCACGGGATATTTAACTGAGACACCTTCTTGTAATTGTTATTTAAAAGTGGTGTTTAAAGCGCGTGTTGTAACTATGGACTTGTTTTAATAGTTTAGAAACCGCATGTTTAGTATGCACATGTTTTAGAGCAGCTATATTAGTCTTGGCTGCATGTATAGGTACTCCATTTGTTTTAAATTTGAAACCTATCATTGTTACCTTCTCCAATGCTTTCATACAGGTTTGCCTAACATTTGGCTAACCACAGCAGTTTTTATGTTAGAAATATCCTACACACATCACTAAACAAAAATGTCACAAAAAGTATACGGAATGAAATATGATGATCATCTTGTTTCAAGAGCCTCACAAGTGCCTGTTCAGTTGAACACAACACTGACATACTCACAGGATTTGAAGAAAGACAAACTCTGAGTCACTCACTTTTTTAAAATACGCTCATCGTTCACCTACATTTGGTACATTCTTGTCAAAATTTAGTTACGTGGAACAAAAAAGGTTTGACATAAAAATTTGAATTTTTATTTCAAAAATTGCCTCTACTCTCTTAGATGCGACTAAAACATTTCATTTATTTGCCATTCTTTAATTAGCATTACTGCCACCTAGTGGTAACCAGGTAAACAATAAACACCTTAAAAACATCCTGACTGTTGGCAAAAAAAGAACACTATGTAACACAGTCAGGATCATCACAGCAGATTATGACCATTATTACCAGTGACCATTATCAACATATGACAAGTGCCTCTAAGAAATTGAGCTTCCTCCACAGAGCCAGATATCTAATGTTTCCTGTGATGTCAGCGGATAGGGGGATTAGTTGGTAGTGGGGTAAATGAGTACACTTTAGGGAGAAAGAGGAGGTTTTACAGAGAGTCAATGAGTCGGGAGTCAATGACCATTCGGTGAACAGGTCACAATGACCAGGCAGAGACAGAACCCCATCTCTGAGCTTCCTGTTTTTCATACATCCAGAAATAGGAAAGGTCTAAATGCTGAGGATAGTAAATTACATTAGGACACATCATCTCCGTGCAAGATAAGGATGAATGATTGAGCACCTGTTATTCACTACTATAAAAGTGTCAAAAAAAGTCATGGGAATTAAATGGGATGGAATCCTGGAAAAAAAACTGCCATGTCATTCTTTGAGCCGTTTCTACAACTTCTATTTTGTTGTGTTTCTATTTTCCCCATTTGTATGTTTGTGTGCACTGGCATGTGATTGTGTTTATTCATATGAGACTTTGTTGGTATGTTATGCAAGAAACCACTCTCCAACTGAGGTTTTGTCAGCGCAAGTGTATGGGCAAAGTCAAATTCCTGCTTCTTAAGGCTTGTGTGTATCAGGCCAGCTTGGCAGAAACACATGTGGGCAAATGGACAAGAGTTATAAAAATTGTCTGGATATTTTAAACAAAGTATCCATGATCTATTGTTAACTGGCGGTTGAACATCAAACTGGGAGAAAACGAACAGGAGCCAGCTTTAGCCATTGGCATCAGATGCCAAGGCTGAGAGGGAAAACAATTTCTTGAGTGCCTAAGGGGTTGCTGATGGTTTGTCTGCCATATGTAGCTACTGAAGAACTCCCCAAACAATGTCTAGGTTTTCATGTGAAAACATTGGGTTTTACAACATAGTAGAATTTCTCACTGAAAGAGAAGAGAGCTTAAGCCATCCCACAATGAAAACTGATATAGCAATAGTGACATCCACATCACCAGCAGCTAAAAAAAAAACCTGCTCTGACCTAGAGAACAGCATGAAAACTGTTACATCTGTTGGTATGTACTACAACTAACCGCCCTCTTTCTTCAGTGCATCCAGATACTACATCAACAGCCGTGTACACCACAGGAGCTGTACGAGATTACAATCAATTTATTTCTCTTGAAGATCCACTTATGACTTTTTGCAGTTCAGAGCCGTACGAGAAGCAGCTGCAGCTCAGTGGTTAAGAAGTTGAACTTCAACCCCAAAGGTCGAGGTTTCAACCCAACTGCTCTCATCTATCGCCCTGGAAAAGACACCTAGCCCACCTGGGTATCTTAGCACTGTCATTTAGAAGCAAACCATGGTCTTTCAATAGCTGATATAAATGCAGAAGTTCCTCATGAAACCACTTTAAGTAAAAACTGTGCAAAATTAATTTTGTGTGTTACCTGCTCTGTGAAGAACAGGCAAAGAAAATTTTGTCTAAAGTCCAGAACTGAACAACACTCTCTGCTATACAGACAAAGATCAAATCTGATCAATCAGTAATATAGTACTTGTAAAGGTACGCTCACCTTATTCAAATTTTATTTTTACTCTTTTTTTCAGAATGATGATACTGTAGATGACATGTACTAAACACCAACACTAAGTAGACCCAACAGCAGTACATCCAGACAACAATGTCAAAAGTGAACCAAGTGAAATTTGAGATGTGAACCAAAAGTGCTCAGATGGTTTTAGAAGTAACACCATAGCCTATAGAAAACAATGTCCATTTGTCACTAAGAAATGGGATTTGGGGAAATTCAGTACAGGATACAGAGATTATTATCATTATCAGTGAGGGATCAGTTTGTTTTCTAATAGATTAGTGAAGCATATCTGGACCACCACCAGACGTTTACAGTCATTTCTAATTTTCTTTTTCATTATTATTAAGCATCATTTTCCAAAGATTAAGGTTTTAGACAGTGGTAAAGTACAATGACCAATACCTTTTTAAGATTGTTTTAAAACATCACTGTCTGATTTACATAATAACCATCAAAACTAGTATGCCTTCATTACCCTAAGTCCAGTGTAGTGAAGGCAAGTAGAATATATTCAATTATTTTCTTCTCAGCTAAATTGAACGTTCATTGTAGTATCATCTCAATGCAAAAAGCCACCAAAAGACGGGGGGGACGTCATCTCATGTATTTGTAGTTTTGAAAAACAATGTTCCTTCTGTTTTTAATATTATAGGCCACACGCACACACAAACACACACACACACACACACACACACACACACACACACACACACACACACACACACACACAGCAATCAAAACCTGACTTAGTGTTCTACCACATGATGTCTTATGAATGACGTAAAAAGAGTGTTTTGGGTTTACATTTGGCTGAGCTGTTAAAAAGAGAAAACTATGAAGACACTAGATATATATTTCCTTTCTGTAACGTCTTAGTGGTAAATGAGTTAAGATGTTACAGAGATGCTGTCAGAAGATTACAAAGTCTACCCCGGACACCAACAAAAGATTAAGTCCTGCTGTAAGCTCTCAGTGAGCAGAAGCACGGTATTTACAAACAATTCCAAAGTGGCTGGCACTGAACTGGAACAACTCGGTTTGGCAAATGTTGGGATCATTGTATTATTAACTGTTTACAAAAGGCATTCATCAGGACTTGTTCTATTTCCATTGTTTGAAATGGCCCAAAACATAACTTTTGACATGGCATAATATTTATTATATACAATGGGAAAATTTAAACGTACACATTACCTTGTTCCAATCAACAGAGATCTCTGGTGTGAGCTCAGGGTGTCAGCAGGGCGGCTGTCTGACCTGCTCCGACTACAATGGCTGCCTGTCCTGCAAGCCACGCTTCTTCATGCACTTGGAGAGAAATGGGATGAAGCAGAACGGGGTGTGCATGACTTCCTGTCCGCTAGGCTTTTACGGCATGCGCTCTCACGAAAGAAACACCTGTACAAGTAAGCACAAACACAGGGGGGTATCGTTGTTACTGACCATCAGCTGCTGAGGATGAGCAATGAATACAGGAGAAAAAGACAGAGTCAATAAAGTGTACTGATGTGTTTTAGTTCATTGTGAGCTCTTTACTGCTTATTTGATTTATACACCACAGATTTAAAGAGAAACTGAAGACCCTGCTGAAATGTCAGACAGTATATGTCTTCTCTTTACTCAACATACTTATATACTGTCTACTTTGACTTTATTCAACCTTTTAAGTACTTTATGTTTATTCAAGCCAGTCCTGTAAATCAAATAATTCCCGACTGCATTCCCTCTGAGGAGAAAGCACCCTCACACAGTGACTGTATATTTAACATGCAGGACACACACAATAACTTGTTCGGTTTAAATAAACCCTAGTGGTGGGTCTGTTTTTCTCTGTCAGAATGCAGGTTGGAGTGTGACTCGTGCTTCGATAAAAACTTCTGCACGCGCTGCCGACCGGGATTCTACCTTCACCTGGGCAAGTGCCAGGAGAACTGCCCAGATGGGCTGGTCCGCAGTGACGCACAGAGGGAGTGTGTTCAAAGTGAGTGTTCAGATTTATCATGGCCTGGACTAGAGAGGTTGTCCGTAAACTCTATGAAAAAAATACACATAACTGCTGAGGAAATGACCGCAGAGAATACTGCAAAAAAGTTCCAATAGCTGCGAAGAGATGAGCTGGAGACACACTGCACTCGTCAGCTACACCTTACTGTTCTGCTGTGTGACGCGCAAGTCTGGTGTTTACACTGGAAGCATCACTGGAGCATCGCAGCTGCCTGTCTGTTACAGTGTTTTATCTGTGCTGCCCTGGAAAAGGGCCATAAATTATGTCAAAACGATGTCTTAATGCTGGCACTCAACACATACTTTATGTATGTTTGTGTTCATGTGTGTGTGGCTGCAGCTAAGAAGAATGAAAAAAAGTCAAAAATCTGTGTAGTAAATGTATGAGCAGTGCAGGGGCCGTACAATATTTGGCTTATGTTTTTCGGTTCAAATGATACAAGTAACAGTGAAAGTAACAAATAAAAGTAAACTCTCTGACAATCGAGATTCACACTTATACAATCCAACACTGTGTTCACATAGGAAAAGTTAATAATGCCTGTGCCACACAGGTTTGGCAAGAAAACACCAACAATTTGAATATGCATAGAATGTAAAGAACCTTAAAGGCAACATTCTGTCGCTGTTCTTTTTCACACAATCCTTTTTTACTTTAACTCAGGCTAAATCAGCAACTAAACCCTATTAATATCATGACATCAAAATCATTGCCAGTAACTTTGTTGAAATGTCAGCAATTGTTGGATGAAACTAAACATTAGTCGTTTTCTCTTTCTTTTTAATTCAACAGCTGCGATTATCTTTTATTACATCACATTGGTGAAATCATTTGATCACGTGAATCATGCTTTTAATTAAAAATGTGTCAAAAGCAATGTTGAGGTTTTGCATGACAACAGCATGATACTGATGCTTGTACTGTGGCTATAGTTTTAGTATAAATGAAAGTCTAGTTCAAAATTTAACAATGGAATTTATATTGGTTTTCTTGAGGAATTTTAATTTTGCTGAAATCACATTACCTAATTTCATTCAATTGTGTTTATGATATTGCTATTTGGAAAAACAATAAAAATTTGATGGATGATAACCGACAGACAGATCAACCAACAGATGCAAGAATTTAAACAAAAAATATGTTACCAAATCTCTGTTCTATTTTGTTTTTACGTTCCCGAGTTTGAAGTACTTGTACTGTGTTCTTGTGTCGAACAGTCTTTGCATGACAAATAATTCTCGCTTCATCAACTGTTTTTGTGCTAAAAGTGAGCATGATATTAAGAGATTCATAACTGTGCTTTTGTTTCTGTAGGATGCCCTGCAGAGTGTGAGTTATGTGTGAACAGCGAGACATGTACACAGTGCCGCCCAGGCCTGTACCACCTCAGTGGGAGGTGCCACCATGTCTGTCCAGAGGACTACGAGCCCAACGACAAACTCATGGAGTGCACACCACAAGGTCAGTAGACTGCACACATCCATCAAAAGTGTCAATCTATTTGACATGAACATAAATATTTTTAACCCCTTGAACGACGCGGGTGGATGCTGTGGTCATTCTAAACACATTGTTCTCTCTATCCATTTTTCAGTGCACTGTGAAGTGGGTGAGTGGAGCGAATGGAGCCCCTGTTTTTGGGCCGGTCGAACTTGTGGTTTCAAGCATGGTCAGGAGACCCGTACAAGGCAGGTCCTCCAGTACCCGTCACCGTTTGGCAACCCGTGCCCCGAGATCTCGGAGATCAAAGAGTGCCAGGTCAAGAGGAAGAAGTGTCCAGGTAAAGAGATGTTAGGTCTTACTCAGTTGTCAAAGCTGCAAACTCAACGTATGAGATAAAAAAATAAATAAAAAAACTTGTAATACACAATCTGGCCTTTAGGGGGAGAAAAATTAAAACCCAGTGTTGTGGGGTTGCATAAGTTGCAGTAGTACTAGATGGTGTCATGACAGGATGTTTTTGCCAATTGCTAAAGTGCATTATACAACAAAAGCCACAAATAATACAAAGTATGAATGGGGCGTCAGTGTTAAAACATATTCTTAAGAACATTCACAAAAACAATTTTCAGTGATTGAATAAATACCACAGAACACACTGACAGTCACTTCTGGGAAATTGTCATCTTTCCAACACTGACGGGAAAAGCATATAAACAAAGGGCAGAGAAACAATGGTCATGGAAGCTCTCCAGTCTACAGCAACTTTAAAGTTTCAGGTGTTTCTCTCAGGTGATGGTGTCTCTGCTATGTGAAAAAAGAACCGACTCCAGGAGAAAAGGAAACAAAAACCCCAGGTTAACTTTAAAAAGGTATTTTAGTCTCAAACAATGAAGGAATAATGTGATACAGTCACATTTCAAAAGTTAGATTTGGTGGTGGCAGCGTCGTGCATTGGATCATTATTCCTCAAATGGAACTCCAAACTATTGGACTATCATTTGTAAATATCAGAACTTTTATTCAAAACTTCCACAGGTCTAATATGGAGGGATTCTACATTTTATCACCACAAAAAAAAACAAAAAAACATACAAATACAAACCAAATTGTTGATCCAAATTGTGCCCCACTGATGGACTCCTCCCTAAAACGACTGAGGTGATGCTTAACAACGGCCTCTACAAAGTGTTAGTTTAATGTCTGCTCACTGCATAAGTGTGTTTATTATTTATGCAACCACTCCATTGTATGTGTTGTTGTTTCTCTCCACTCTAAGATGTTTAACTTTGGTTAAAAAAGTGCAGATTTTAGCTTTGACTAAACAAATCATATAAATTTAAACCCAGGGCTGTGTGAACTTTCTTTATATATTCACTGTTAATCTTAAAAAACACAACGAAGAAAAAGACTTTTTTTGTTGCTCACACTAGTTGCTGCCGACCCATTACACTCACTGCCAACTGTGTATATGACACATGGCACAACCGTCTCTATGAATTCCAGACCTCGGTGCTTTGGCTTGTACAACCAGAGCTGGGCGCTCTTCCCCCTAGGACCACGACTGTTTAANGATTGTCATTGTGGTCGGAGTAAGGACAGTGGTGGGAACACATATGTGGTGATGTTGCAATGGCTATGCTGTGTGTTCTCCCATGAGAGCTCTTCAGACCTTAAAACAGTCAAACCGCTCTCTGTGCTCCGCAGTAAACAGGGAATAGCGTGATCATTTCTAATGAATAGAGTGGAAACTGCTCTCAGACGTCTCTTTATAAAAACCCAGCATGTGGAGCATTTATGACCGCTTTGTGTTATATGTGTACTGCATGTGTGTGGTTACTGAGGTGGTTGGTGGCTTCGACTGGTTGTTTTTTAGCCCGGGTTCTGTAGTGTTAAATGACAGATCGCAGACGGGGTAGGAGGCTGAGATCCAGCCCCCTGGGGCCTCACACTTACAGAACAAACACTGTGTGGATGTGGATGTGTGTGAGCATGTGTGTGTATGTGTGTGTGAAAAAGTCAGCGAGAGAGAGAGACAGTGAGAGAAGAAAAAAGAAAGAGATGCAGCAGAAACAGCTAGCTCAACATCAACATCCTCCCCCTGGGAGGCACGCGGCGGCCAGAGGATCAGTACTGGTTTATCTGCACAGCTGCCAACACACACACATATAAACACACTCAAACTGGAACACACACACATCTCACAAAACATGCCTTCATAAGGGCTGGTTTTAGTGGAAATCTGCAAAACAGTTTAACTGGATTAATGACTGGGAAATTAAGACAGAACTACGTCGGTACAAACGTCGTTTCCTTCTCTTGTGGTTTCTTTCTTATAACACAACGTCCCTTAAGAAAACACATCTGTATGTCCTTCATGTTGTCAGTACCAGTGGGATGGGCCACAGGTGAGCTAACAACTGAGTTAGTCTGAGTAAATGACAAAGACAGGAAGTGAGGAAGGTAAGAAGGAAGGAAGGAAGGAAGGAAGGAAGGAAGGAAGGAAGGAAGGAAGGAAGGACAGATGTGTGCGGTCTTAAACACCACAGACCCAATTTATCGACTCCGTCTCCCAAATGTGATTACCTATCACTACAGCAGCATCCGCAGTGAATGAGAGCTAATTATCTGCCTCGATGCATCCTCTCCTCACTGTTTATGTTCTGCACACGCTACGAGGTCAGTGGTCCGACCTCAGCGAGCCCCCAGTAATCCTCCAGAAGCCCTCAGACACTGATACATCCTCCTACTCCTCTTCCTCTCCTCTTTTCTTTGCACTTTCTCCCTTTCAGTTTCTTCTCACCCTCTGTTCCGATTTCCCCCTTCCCCCACAATTCCTTTCCTCCGGATTGTTGCTTCTTCCTTTCCTCCTTCACATCTTGTTTCACTATCAATAAAACACATTAATTAGGTTCATAAGTTCACATTATTGAAGACGCCTTACTCACAATAACAACAAATGTAACGTCTTTCCGCATCGTTCTGTACGTAATCCTGTCAGCAAGTCATTTTTAACAAAATACAAACTAAACTAGTCTTATTTTACACTGTCCACTGCCACGACCTGATCTGTGACTTGTCATTCTGAACATTTATGACTCAATGATACGATGTGTCGTGACTTTATTTTCCTGGGGGTGAGTTGGTTTGTGGAAACACTGGAAGAAATGAAGACGTTCTCAGTCTGAACAGCTCTACATCAGAGAAGTAGTTTCAGATCAAACATAATTTTGACCTTGACTTTGACATCATGTCATACTCATCATACGAAGACACGATGGCACAGAAACATCCATAAACGTTGTCAGTGTCTCTCTGTCTGTACACAAACACCCCGTCTCTCTCTCTCTCTCTCTCAAGTGAAGACAGTGTCCTTCTACTGACCTGTTAACCTCTATTTCTCTATACGTGCCCTCTGCAAACACACACACACAGACACAGAGACACAGAAAACCCCCCCTGATGATATCCTGGCGGCCATGCAGCAGGCATTCCACTTGTGGGACAGCCCATAGCCTTTAATCCCAGCCTGGCTCCCGCCAAAAGCTCCCCGGACGACAGAACGCCTGCCACGGAGGATGTGCTACCATAAAACACACAGTCAGCCACTAACTACATGCACACACATAGCCTACACACTCCTCCCATTACACTCAGTGGCCCCATGCTCCCTCATCTGATCCCTCTATACTCCCCCTTGTTCTGTTTTTTTATTATTTTATTCTCTATGAATTTGCTCTTCATCTTTTTAACTAGTTTCTTTGTTTGCAATTAACATTTACAAAGTTTGGGGATTTTTTTGCATTCCAACAGATTTCCAATAGTTACTTTGCAGATGCAGACTATTGAACAAGTCATGGTTCTTGGCTGAGGACGATGGTTAAAGAAGAATAATAGCAGATGATAAAATTTGTACACGTTACTAAGCGATTAATGATGTTTTTCTATTTTGATCCAGCAAAATACTTGATAAGTGATTTCTGTGGCACTAATTGTTGCGTTTGAAAGTGGTTACAGTAAATACTTTGATTGGATGCAGACATTTCCATATAATTTGACCCAAATGTATTTTTGATACTGTAGTGGTGGAAATGAATCTTTTATGTGCAAATAACAAATCTCGAGCGCAGAGTGATAAAAGATAGCAACAGGGAAGAGTTAGTAGGAAATAAACAACAGCAAATTTGTACAAGATACTTTTACAAAACGACTACTCCAGAATGGCGATTCAAAACAAGCCTTAAAATCTGAGAATTGTAAATGACTTTTTTAACGATCATTTATTTAGCAAGAAAGATTCCAAACCACAGAAGAGTTAACTAACAAATCTGTTCAAAATAAGTTAAGAAACAAAAATGTGAAAATTATCCAAACATTTCTCTTCATACATCTACTACTGACAATTTTGTTTCATGTGTACTTTTAATTAATTTGGGAGCTAAGGATATTAATTATATTCCAGCCGACAATTTAATCACAAACAACGTGTCCTTGTAGAAAGGAGCTTCTCCTCAGCCCTAACATCAATGGTACCTCCAGAGATCTGCGGACCCTCTTTAAAAAAAAAAAAAAAAAAAGTTCTTTTAAGGTCCCTTTCCAAAAGTGTATCCTGTTTAAAGTAAACTTAAAGTAAACTCAAAGTAACAATGTATTATTTAATAAAGAATTCTAGCTTCAAAAAACAAGTTCCAGTATAGATTCCATTCTAAAGTGTAATAGTTCCCCTGACATTATTCAACACACAGTTTAAATAAAACCCATCGGACCTTTCCAACAAACCAATTGCAGCTTGGTTTGATAAACACTCTCCTAATCATTTCAGCGCTGGCATGGATTAGGTATCCCTTCTGTTCTGACAAAAGCACAGGGGCTACAGTATGACTAATCCACTGAACTTGTAAATAGTTATGGTGTCAGGATAGTGAAAACAATGAGAGCGAAGGGGACTTCCTGTGTTTATAGAGGACGCGATGCAGCCCCCGAATGAGTCAGTGCACCAGATTACTCCTTCCATTCATTCATCCATCCATGCACCCAGCAGTCTAGTATAGTATTAGCAGTATAGTATAGTATTAAATTGGATTTCTTTGCACTTCAGTACTTTTGTCTAAGTTGTTATGGCCCACGTGTTGCTATTTGTCCTAATGGCAGCCTCCTTTTTTACCAGCCCTGTCAGATTTAACAGTAAACAGGTAGAGATTTCAGTCACTAATCCAATGTTTGGATCAAACACTTCCTGTGAGACTTTGGTTGATGTAGTGGGGTCAAATAAAGAATTGACAGGAGAGTGACACAATGTCTTTTTGTGTCTGACTCCCTGTGTCTGTGCCTACTGCCTGCATCAGCAGTTTCACAATCCCCGACTGGCCAGCCAAGCAGCCGAGCAGGCCGTGCTGCTCCGCTCCCCTCACACATGAACATCAGCAGGCCAACAACAGGAAAAGGGCCTCCTCTGCTTTCACTTGCAGGTCCTGTTACCAACCTCCCTCAGGGTGGATTGTGTAATTATCATTAATCGTTGTAGGCTGGAGTAGAGATAAAACTTCAGCATTCCAAAACTTTTGGTTCTGTTTATGAGATGGTGTCACACGAACAGATAAACCCGGGGTTTATTTAAAGGTTTTCTATTATGGACAATGGTCTGTTCATCACACGAAAAGGCTGCTGCAGCCAAGGGACTAGAAATGTGTCTTTGATTCAACACTGCCATCTTATGGCAATTGTAAGCATTGCAACAATCAAGGATATGAAACGTTTCAGATTTAGGTTAACGTTTATTTTTCTAATGACAGGAAATATACATATTATTATTTTAAGGACGTAATTGTTGTTTTTTTACCAATACTAATTATATTGTTCTGTAAAGGACGGAGGAAGAATGATCGAAAAGACAGGAGAAACCGCAACAACCGAAAAGATAAGGAGAACCAAGAGGCACGACGAGAGAGGAAGAGGGAACGAGAGCGAGAGAGGGAGAGACACCCAGGTGACCGTGAAGACTCTGACTTCAGTAACAAAACAGAGCACAGGCGCCGCAGAGGCCACGACACAGAGCCAGTCTCCACTGATGATGACCTTGTACAGTGAGCTCCCTCTTGCCTCCAGACCTTCATCCTACTACCCTCCTCTTGGTCATCCTCCACCACCTATACCTATCGTTTGCCCACCTTGCCCCCTGTCTGCAGGGGAGTTGCTGCTACCTGTATGATTTGGACATACTAATTGTGCACAAATGGGCTGGGACACATTCAGCCGGAAGACTTGGGCCTCTCTGAACCTCAAGCAAATGATTTTCATCTAACACTCAGACTTCTTTCCTTCCACCAATGAGAAAGTATTTCTGTTTAAAAGTGCTGGAGACACTGATGAGACTGCTGTGGAGATTGAAGAAGAAAAAGAACTGTGTCTCTGTGTAGAGGACAGGCACACACAGACTGAAAGACATAGAAGTTACACTTCATGCTTGTTGATACGGTTATTTAACAGTGCCCTGGTACAACATCTAGGCTTTTGAATGTAGATTTTGCAAGATTATGTAGAACTATTGTTCATTACCGTTGTTTAAGATTTATTTTATTTGGAGCAGAATTTGTAAAGACAAAATAAAAGTCAGTTTGCTCTCGCCATTTTGTGACACCTTGATAATCACTGCAAAAAACAGCCTGCATGGTTTCAATCAAAAAACCATTAACATATTTTGTATGTGTTTGACAGACGCTGGTTTTATTCAGATACATGAAAAATGTTCTCTCTGTAACTTAACTCTATGCTATCAGTAAAATTCCTTAACAAGGAACCAAATGCACCTGTATGTCAATAAAACTATATTGGTTTGTACCTCTGTGTTAGTTTCCTTTTCAACCATCTGCAGAATTCATCGCCTTTCTCAGTCGTTACTACAGGACAGGTAAGAATTTTACATAACATTCCTCCAGCAGTACTGTCAAAAAAGCAGAATGCATATATATTCAAACCATTCTTCTGTCAAATATTTATAAATAATCAAGAACCAATGCATAACAAATCCTGTGATTTGAGCTAATAAGCTCGTCCCATAGCTAGTTCAACTAGTTCAATTACTTTTAAAAATGTGCCATTTTTTTTCAGGGTCAAGCTCTACTTTCAGTTTAAATAAAACAATTCAATAGGTCAGTTTCCACTCTAGTGTTTCTATATTGCAAAGAAGACAAAAAGAATCTGTTTTAAATATGACTCTTTTATTGGTGGAGTGAATATTTTGCTCATCAGTAACATCTACTTGCATCAACAGGTGTGACAGTATTTCCTCATTACATGAATATGTAAAACTGACATTTGTAAAATATACATATATAAGTTTTTACATGTATTATGTGTACATGTTATAACATGTACACATAATAAACCCAGATTTAAAGCCATAATTGAGAAGGTGAGGGGAAGAGAAAAGGACCAAAGCAATGTTTCTAAATGATGAAGAAAATGAGGAAACGCTGTGACAGACATTGAGATTCACTCAGATGTCATTATTTAAGACGAAACTAGTAAATCACAGCTGATGGGTTTGAACTAAATAGGTGCACCCTGTTCACTTCATGTTAGCCACAAAATCTTCACCCTTCTTGATTGAAGCATTCAGTTCGCCAATGGCATCGGCCACAAGCTTCTCCTCAAACGCAGACAGCGGGCCAATACCAAGGTTCTTCTCAATGCCGTTCTTTCCCAGGAGGAGAGGTGTGGAGAAGTACTTGCACTCCGTCTCACTGGATCTGACAAAAGCACATTCTACAACACCTTCCTTTCCATTCATGGCATCCAGGACAGAGAAGGTGAAGCGGGCACCAGCATAAGCCATGGAGAGTGTGGCAGATCCAGCTCCAGCCTTGGCTTTAACCACCTCTGTGCCAGCCTCTTGGATCCTGTGTGTCAGGGCTGAAAGCTTGTCAGCTGGAAATTCAACTTTAGGTGTGCATTGAGAGATCAGGGGGATGATGGTCTTCCCTGCATGACCTCCAATGACTGGTACACATACACGAGCTGGGTCCAGGCCTGTTAGCTCTGCCACAAAGGTGTTTGCTCTGACAATGTCCAAGGTTGTGACACCAAAAACTTTGTTGGGGTTGTACACGCCATGTTTCTTCATCACCTCTGCTGTAATGGGGATGGTGGAGTTCACGGGGTTGGCGATGATACAGATCATGGCTTCGGGGCAATTGCGGGCGCAGGCATCGGCCAAGGTGGCGACAATAGTGGCGTTTGTGTTGAAGAGGTCGTCACGAGTCATGCCGGGTTTTCTTGGCACACCGGCGGGAATGACCACGACTTCACAGCCCTGCAGAGCAGCATCGAGCTGGTCGGGACCGATGTGGCCGGTTACTTTGGCCTTGGTCTCGATGTGACTGAGGTCCGCCGCCACACCGGGGGTATGAGCGATGTCAAACAGGGAGAGTTGACTCACCAGGGGGCTGTTTTTGAGTAGCAAAGACAGCGGCTGGCCTATCCCGCCTGACGCTCCGAGTACTGCCACTTTAGCGTTGTTCCGGGTAGAGGTGGACAAGCTCCGGGCGAGGCTAACGGTGGGTCTCACGGCACGGGAAAACATGGCTTTAGTTGCTTTTTTTCTTAAAATATAAGAGATATTCACCTGTTATACACCTCTCCTCTGTGACACCAACGTCCTCTAGTCAAGAGCGAACAGGAAGAGCCGTAAGCCGTCTTCTTCGTCTGTTGCCTCTCGCAGCAGAAAAGGGTGCACTGCTACCTCCCTCAGGGCCTTTGGAGAACTGCGTTTATATTTCTAATAGCTCCGCTTATACCGTATGGGGATTCGTATTTTATTTAATAATTTAATTCATGTAAATATGGAGTTAAAGATCATATTACTTATTATATTATATACCGAACCGTACCTGAACCGACATTTCTACGTTTTTTTACAGTACAGTTGTATACAGTCTATTTTATTATACTTCAAAGGATCACAGACTTCTCTTTGGCTAGATTTTATAATTGCAATTAGTATTGTTTGTTAAAATATTTAGACTTTTCATTTTTCATTTAAATATGATTTGCTCTGTATCAGTTAACTAATATTCAATATTCAGTCTTCTGTTTCCCACACTGGTTGTTATGCACAGATGTGTCATACTAAACCCCCAGACAATAAAAATGTAAAATGGTGAAGGTTCCAATATTTGGTGAAAAAATAGGAGAACAAAATAGGGAGGTCTGTAATTTCTTGGTTGGGCTAATGCGTCACAAGGAGGTCATGGGTTTAAATCAGTTCAAACCCATGACATCCGATTGTGCTTCACGAACCTGTGATCAGCTGCTTCACAAGATCATAAATAATCTTACACAAAGGCAGTACCTTGATTTGCTTGATAACCAGGGTAAATATAAATCCAACTCTTTGTCACATGACTGTCACATTACGCATACAACTAGTGTAGCAATGCTGTTTCCTATTTTATATTTATTTTCATTTAATGATCTACTGACAGACACAAAACCGCAGGTCAACCAGGGCCACTAATGGTTTTCTGCTTTAAGCTTCTTCTAGTAAGTATCAAATAACTATTTCCTTTATGAGAAAATTATATAAAAATGATTATAAAAAGAAGAGAGAGAAAAAAAGAAAGAACGCACTCTTAAAATGGCATGCGTAATTTATAAGTCCAAAAACGTCATCACGTACGTTGACGTCGACGTCTTTATCGCAGCTTGTTCTTTGCGGAGGAAAACAAAAGCCAGTGGTACACTGGAAGTCAAAAAATAAGCACCGGGGAACCTTGTCGTCGATCTTCCTGCATCTGTATCACAGAGGAGCGGGCTCAGTCTTTACGATACGGTACGATTTCACAACCCGTGACGTTTCCTCTCCCTGTTTTTGACCTGCTAAAAATTGGAGCTCGCATCGTCAGAAGAACTCCGTCTATTTGCTGGAGTAAAAGCGCTGCCCCCAGCTTAGCCAGTGTTAGCTACAACAGGTCTCATTGTTATGGTGTCTTTGTCAGTGGAAAAAGACATTTCTGCTCTTTAACCGATGTCTGCATTTCGATGAAAACAACACCGAACGCGTCGTCTTTGAGTGGCTGCGGTGTACTGTACACTAGCTACATGAGTATTTAGGAAACTGGACCGTGTGTTCAGGTGCTGACAGACTCCGTGCGTTAGCTGCCGACTTAGCCGTGTCCATCACCATTTCTGTCATCAAGGCCACTGCTGGCAGCTTCACCACATTGAAGTATAAGACTTAATTGATCTCTAATTTATAGTTGTATTACCATGTACAAAAGCAACCTGTTTCACCACAGTTGGCTTGCGACAACAGCTTGAGGGTGTTTGTCACAAATGGGGCATTTTACGATTGTAGAGCTGCTGCTTTTAAATTGTTGCAAGACTGACTCAGAATAACATTTACATTCAACACTGTTTGACAGTGACGGGACAGAAGGTCAATCAACTCCACTAATGATTCATCAGCATTAAGCTTCTTCTGGTAAGTATCAAATAACATATTACTTTTTAAGAACACAGGATAAATTAGTTATAAATAGACCTGAATATTACCTAAAGATAATATAACCTAGTCCTGTCATTCCATTTCTTCATTTATATCTTAAAGTTTTACTTCATTGTGATCATATTCTTCAGATCTTTTGGGGGTAAAAAACAATATTTAAATGTATATTTAAATAATATTAAAGGATTTGAAGCTACTAATCAACAATTTATATTTTAAACATTTTTCTATGGTTCAATTAATTACCAAAAAGTAAGAGTAACCAAAAAGCTTGTCTTATGTTTTAAACACACTGAAATCATATCTTTAATCATAGATATCAATTTACCACTATGAAGATACTTAAAAACGTGATATTTTGCCTTTCATGTATTTTCGTCTACTAAAACTCAATTAAAACACCTATTATAATGATTGTTTAACTTTTCAGTACTTCTCAAGGATGGCTAGTTGCGGGGAGGTCGATCACTCTGTTGGCTCGATTCCATCCAGCAAGAAAGGCAACAACGGTGGTGGAAGTGGAAACAGCGCTGATGCCTCGTGTTCTGGCTCAAGCACATCTCCAGCGCTGTCTGTACCAGAGTGCGCCATTTGCCTGCAAAGCTGCGTTCACCCAGTCCAGCTGCCATGCCATCACGTCTTCTGTTTTCTCTGCGTGAAAGGAGCATCTTGGCAGAGCAAACGCTGCGCTCTATGCAGACAAGAAGTACCTGACGACTTTCTGGAAAGGCCCACACTTCTCTCCCCAGAGGAGCTAAAAGCATCAGCAGGAGGACGTGGTGGTGCTGCAAATGATCACGCCTGGTATTATGAGGGGCGTAACGGCTGGTGGCAATATGACGAGCGAACCAGCCGTGAGCTAGAGGACGCTTTTTCTAAAGGCAAGAAGACGGCAGAAATGCTGATTGCTGGTTTCTTGTATGTAGCTGATTTGGAAAACATGGTGCAGTACAGGCGTAATGAGCACGGTCGCAGACGCAAGATGAAGAGGGACGTTTTGGACATCCCAAAGAAGGGAGTGGCAGGACTTCGTTTGGACAGTGAGAGTGTTACAGGTGCGGCAGGAAGAGAGAACTCTGCAGATGGGGCTGACAACATATTAGTGGGTGTACAGCAGCAGGTTACAGGTTTGTCTTCTACTGTTACAGCCCCTACAGTCACAATCAGACCGCCCACAACTCTTGGGGCTCAGCATGGTACCAGCACTAGTCCCTCGCTGGAGGATGATCTCTCCCAACTGCAAATCAGTCCAAGAACGACACCTCCTCTTGACAGATCTGAGACTGGGGAAGGAGAGGAAGAAGATGACGATGAAGAGGAAGAGGCTTCGCCCTCAAGGTCTTCTGAGCCTCACACCTCCGTGGACGAGTCTGGTTCTGGAGATTGGAGCGATGACGAAGACGAGGAAAATGAAGACGGGGAGGGGGGAGATGAAGAGCACATAGAGCCATGGGAGGGCAGGTCAAGGAGGCAAAGACTCAATCCAGAGGATAGAGCGCCTCCAGGTGCAGAGTCTGCCTCTTCCTCATCCAGTAGCAGTGGAAGGTCCAGAATGCCTGACGGCCAGTGTACAGTGACTCAAGTGTGAAGTCATTGCTGAAACAGTTCCATTCCACTAATTTATTCCTGACTTTATGTTGTCTTTCACTCAGCCACAGATCAGATGTGGGTGGGTTGCTACACATGCTGAAATAAACCGTGGGAAAAATTTAGGTTTAAGGAAATAATTTTCAATGCCTTGTTTTTGGCTCTAAACCATCTGTGTGCATCAGTGACATGGTTTGTTTCTCCAGTGAATACCCAGCTTCTCCAGTTTGTTGTACGTTGGGTTTAATTAAGTGCTGCTTTGCAAACATGCAGATTAGTCCATCCTGTTGTTTTCAGCTTTTACATGATTCTCCACCTGGCAGCAGAACAGATTGTCAGTGGTTTTTACCTTTCATAAATATCAGTTCCTTATTTTTTTTTATTCTTATTCTTGATGCAGTTTTAAGCGTAAATTCATTTACCAAACTCCTGCAAAATCATATTACTGTTAATTAATGGTGAAATATTCTGAGGACTATTGGTGTTCTCATCAAGGTTTGTGCTGTGAAGTGAAAGAAGACATAAAGAGGGATTTTACTCTTGGATATGGAGCTGTGTCATTTACATCATTTGGGAATGGCTGCAGTCTAATCACCTACTCTTTAACTCTCTCAGCTAACATGACACGCACAGGGGCTTATTGGAGCTCAGGTCGTCTTAATAATCATGTGTTCCAACACCAACTCCTGCTCCAGATAGAACTTATTACAAAGTTTTAGTTTTTTTCCTTCAAATTTAAAAGCCTAATATTAACAACATGTGAATGATTTTCACAGCAGATGGGGTTGGAAGAGTTTATGCAGTTGAAGTCATAGTACTCTGATGTACTTCTCCAGCTCCAGAGGATAACACAGACAGCAGTTGTCTGTAATCTCAGCCAATCTGCAGCTTTTAAAAAAAATCAACAATAATTATAAACCTGTTTGATTAAGTGAATGTGCTTGAAATAATAATTGGCAATTCAATGTGAATTAATGTTGTTTATCTTTTTTAAAAAGTTGAGGCCTCTGGACCGTGAGAGCCATTTTATGGTCCCTGAAGTATTCTCGACAGGTGTGTTTCTTAAGTTTCGTAATTTGTCCGTGTTTGAAGAGAGAGTTATTTATAAACTACTGGTTGGCAGGATGTTGTAACTGGTTTGACTTTGTCTTTTTTTTCTTTTCAATGGTTGTAAATTCTTTTACTTCTATGTTGTTCCGAGGCAGTTGAAGAAAATGTGTCAGCTAAATTTCTGTTCCCCTGCAGAGGTTTCAGGTTATGTTATTTTTATAATTCTTACATGCTTACATCATCAGCTTTTAGATTTCCACTCTGAAAAATAAAGTGTGTGTAACAGTTTGTTTTGCCTGGCATTTTTTGTTACAAGGTTTTTGACTTAAGAATAAATTGTGACATTTCCTCATCCAGAAGGACATTTTTAGTATTGTTGTCCCATGAGTAGAGAATCTTTTACAACTGTATCTACATTCTTCGGTGGTGATATGAACAAATGTATGCAAATTTTGAAGCTGAATCTGGGCCACAGCAGACAGTCACACCGACTGGATGAGAACATGACCTGATGAAAGAGGATCAGGAGAGGAGTCTGACATTTCCCCAGGGACCTCCCTGTCCTTGGCACCGTCACCAGTACTTCTATGGTTACAACTTCTCATTTGTGGTGTTCAGTGGTTCCCAAAGTGGGGTGCCTGGAGCTATCAAAAGGTGTGTATTTAAATATTTATTTTGCAAATACATTTCAAATATGTAATAAAAAACCCAAATACTTGTTTGTATAGTGCTCTAAATAGGAACCCTGGTGGTGACATTTGTGATTCTAAATGAGTCCATAAAAACAACTCACTCTGCAATGAAGGCACACAAGGCCTAATAAGCAGCCATGGTGAGCAACCTTGACCTTTAATGAGTTCATTCAAGAATAAAAGGGAACAACTGATGCAGTTCTTAAATAATTTATGGCCAGTGTGTAAGCAGCACCTGTGTACTCTTTACTTCAGCTTCTAGTGCATTAAATGTAAGTGGATATTCTTTTGTCATTATTTAAGGCAAGGTAAATTAAAAAATATAGATAATAAAAGGTAATTAAAATATAATAAATACGATATATGTGTATAAAACAAATATAAAAACAGGACTTCATAGTATCAGTGTTTTTGACACCTGATTTAATATCCAAATTACTTTAGCACAACACACACAAAAGGAGCAAACCTATAATTTCACCGGTAATTTCTCGCTGGGCATTATTTGTTTAGTCTACATGAATCCTCTCCTGATATAAGTGTCTTTAAAGTAACTAAACAGGAGAATGCTGTTGGTTCATTTGTGTTTAGACTTGTTGGCCAGAGCCTGTAGGTTAGCTGGACCCCCCCACACTGTTCCAAAGACCGACATCTCTGTCCTCAGAGCCTCGGACAAAGGAAGCTCTCTCCCCGACAACACCACTTTCTTCACAGCTTGAATAACAGGGACTGGTCCTTTAACATAATTGCTCAGCCACTGCTCAGCCTGTTTAAGGGTGGTCCCTACAGCCATATCAGTGTGAAGGTCTTTTAGGACTTCATCTACCAACCCAATCTGAAGTCCAAGTGTGGGGTTCACCTTTAGAGCACCAGCAAGAAGCTGAAGTGCCTTTTGGGCTCCAACAATACGGACGAGTCGCGCAGCACCGCCCCAGCCTGGGACCAGCCCCATATGTTTATGGACAAACTGGATGACACTGTCAGGGGCCATCAACCTTAAAGTGAGCAGAAATGACATTATTGCAATTTTTCTTAGAAACTTGCACTCTGTGGTGTTTTCGGGCATAGAAATCCTTACCTGAAATCACAGGCGGTGATAAATTCTGCACCTCCTCCCAAAGCTTTTCCCTCCACCAGAGCCACAGAGATCAGTGGCAGCCTGCACTGAGAATCTTGTTTTGTTAGCATATTAAGTACATCACTCTTGTAACCAAGCAGAAATTTCTTGTTCTTTTATTTTCATATTATGCACCTCAGCCTCAACTTCTCAAACTTTTATTATTTATTTTATTTCTTTCAGTTACTCAACATGGTCATGGGGGTGCCTATGTTCCTCACAGTGCAACATAAACTTAGTGGTTGCTGCTCACAGTATTTATAAAGCTCTTACCTGAGTAGCCTCGTTAGAGTATTTTGCATGAACATGCACATCATCATCCCATCCTAAAAAAACAGATTTCTAATTATGACAACTATTTTTAAGGTTACATGTATAAAACAAATGAAAAATAGTAAGTATTTGTATTGTATTGAATATATTCAGAAACACTTTTTCGTTACTACCTGTGTGTTAGATATTGCCCTGACAGCACTGAGGTCTGATCCAGAACAGAAAGTTTCAGCAGCACCACACACAATAAGGCCTTTCCCATCTGTCCAGTTCTCTAGCTGGGTCACCTTTTCTTCCAGATCCAGCATCATACTACCTGAAGACAGCTATTTTTTTATCCAAAGCAACAAGACTGCAATGCAAATAGATATAATTTGTTGCATTCTATAAATATCGAAACACAGTTTTAGGAGGTTTCTTACCAGAGAGAGCGTTCATGCGAGATGGATTATTAATGGTCAGCACAGCTATCCCGGAGTCTTGTTTGAGCAGATCAATGGAGCCACCAGGAAAGGCCTGAAGCTTCTCTCTGATGTTCGCCTCATTGAAGGAATGAACGTGGGAGCAAATGGAGGCACGGCTCTGTTTTTGCAGCAACCTTGTGGATATGATTTGTGAATCATAAAACAGTTAGTCTGAATTTAAAGTAGACTTTTCTGACCAGATATGTATTTCTGACATTAGGACAAACTCATATGCATTAATTTAGTGTAGGAAGAATATGTAATAACCGTCAAGTAGAAAATCATATTTCATACAGTAGAGAGTTAATGGTCATAATGACAGAAATGAGGATAAATTACTTTAATAACTTGCTACTCTAAACACATCCGCCTGCCTGATAGCTGTTTAATACAATCCAAATCTCAAATAAATGTGTCACAGTGTGTGACGATAAATATAAGTGTTCTAGGTTCTATTCACAGCACCTAATGTTCTTTGTTAAAGATTGTATTTACAGCAAATGGTTGGTGATAAAAGAAAAACTGTTGGCTAGAAGATTTTACCTGTCCCAGGCTCCACAACGACTTCTGCTTTTGAGAAATGTTCGCATCACTGCACACAACCGCATCCTGCCGCTGTTTCGAGAATATATAGAAAGATGATCGAGAAATGACGTCATGAACGAAGAATTAGTTTTATTTTGCTAGTGAGGTCTTTTTATTATAATTTGCGTTTTATAAATGTACTTTCACTGTTACATTATTGTGATATCATCCTTTATTTTATACCGTTAATGCCTTTGACTATTAAAGAGTAGTAACGCAGATAAACAAGTATAACTAGGAACTCTTGATGTTGAGAATGTTTTTCATGCGTTCATTTTACATATAAAACATCCATTCTGATGTTGTCGTCCGTTTAGGTAAAACAGAACACGTGTAAGTACTCTAGCCAGAAGTATTTATAAATGGTATGCACGAATCATACATGGGAGAAAATATATCTTTTACAAACAATATTCCGGTACTAACCTTTGAGGTCGGGGGGTGTTACTCTCAAATACTTCCCCCTGGAAACCGCAGCTCTATGACGACAAAACAGGTAAACGCAGTTTGACGGAATCTCCGCATGGTTGCGCTACATAGCAACTCTGATTTCCTCTAAGTAGAGACATCGGGATGAGACATTTTACATATTTAAAATGCGTTTATATCGTAGCTACGCCTCCAATATATTTAAAAACAATGATTTTATATTTCAACGTTTAATGCCAGCGTGAAAAAAGAACTGGTAAATGGATTACACAAAGGGAGAGCTGTTTCTCGTCTGTCACATCTCTGTAAACACAGCCTGTTGACATTCTGGCTCCACAGACATGTCCTTTTTTAGTAATAAAACATACGACACACACAACACATTATGATATTCTTTGTTAAGACACTATTTTAAATTTTAAGCCAAATGATCCAACTTTGGTTGATACAATGTCATGAAGCCATGGAAATAACCAGCTCAGCAACTTGTCATACACAGTCACTGTTTTTATTATTTATTTTTATTAATCAAATCTCGAATTAAGTTAATAAAATACAGTTAATTCACCACAAATGTAACATCATCAAAATCTCACATTTTTGATCAAATCTCAAATTAAGTTAATAAAGTACAGTTAATTCACCACAAATGTAACATGCAGGAGGACAACGACTGTGGTTTATTGTTTTATCACATTAGTTACTGTAGGTTAAAAAAAAACTATATCTGCAATCACTTAAAAGATTGTAGACGTAATGTACGTTTTATGCTATACTTTATACTTAATAACTATTTTATTGTTTTAAATGTTTAAATCTTTATTAAGTTCCCCAAAAGTTTCCTAGCAAACAATATTGGGAAAAACATGCCACAAGTCAGTATGTCATTGATTTCTAGAAACTGCATTTTCTGCAGTACAGCCCTCATTCTGTACAAACTCCAAAAATGTGCTGTGCAGACACAGGGTGCATGTTTTGGACTGCCCTGCCTGAAGTTCACTGGTATGATTAAAGAATGGAATATTGTTAGTCAGTATAAACATTTTTTCTATTTTTTTTACTTTTTTTCTGCAAGGTACATCTGAAGAAGACAGTAAGACGAATGGTAGTGAACAAATTATACTTGGTGATGTAATGACCAGGAGATGTTCAGGGAATTGAGGGAAAAACTTGCCAAAAACGAGGGAGCCAGAGTCTCTTCCTGTCTTGTTGTCTAATCTATTGCCACCAGGAGCATAAATCTTCTACCTCTATCCACATCACTGTTATTTGTAGCCTTGAACAAGCCTGTGAAAACAAACTGAGGATTTAAAATACCTCTCTGTGACACGTAGGTCACTCTGAAAATTCCGCAGTAATGCCGATTCATAAGGTTCCATCTGAAAATGGATAATGTTTTAGACCTACCATTAACTGGAGGCACTTTCCTAAAAAAAGATTCAAATGTAATTCTCAGATACAATTTAAGCACAGCCAGCCAGATTATAAATCTATGACACCATGATGTGATCATGAATGGAGGATTTAGTGGGACTAAAGCCCATAAAGAGGTTAACAACAAGGATACAGCAGACTGCATCCAGAACTGGTTTGGAGTCCCCTCAGTGTTAAGACTCACACCTCCCAGGTCTATTTTAAAGTGGGGAAGGAATTTAAAAAGGTCAGTGAGACTCTTCCTAAACAAGTGTTCCAGACACACTGACTCTGCTTCTGCTCTACAGTACATTCAGCTGGGTCAGCCAGCCCACAACTGTCTTTAAATATCATTCTTTGAAGCACAGCACCTGCACAACGTGACAGCTTAGGGAATGCATAGTAGTCCCCAGGTCATTTTTGTTAGTGTATGTGTGTATGTGTGTATAAACAATGGTCTCACTGACTTGTGTGGTGTTGGTGTGTGATGCACAGACAATCAGTTTCTTCTCTGTGATGAAAAATAATCCTGAAACATTTTTGGCTCTCAGTGTCCACACTGACTCATCCTCTGTTAGGGCTCTCTGTGATTTTGATTAAAATCAGTTCTGCTGCTTCATGGTCCACCAGGATGTCAATAATGCATCTGCAGACTTCAGCTGCTAATGGAAACCTGTCTGAAATTACAACCTTTGTGTGTGTGTGTGTGTGCAGGGAGAGGCTGTATAAATGCATGCGCAACTTTAAATGCATTGATATACTCTCTCTCTCTCTCTCTCTCTCTCGTTCTCTCTCTCTCTCAATCACCCCTCATCTCTCTGTGAGTGTGTGCATCCTTGTGTGGTATTCTTGTGGCCTCTACAGTGATCCATCACCACGCAGATCAATATGCAGCTGTCTGGTTCTCCCAAGGAAGTCAGGGAATTCACTGCAGTCAGCAGGGCTTTGTACCAACTTACAGAGAAAGAAACCACACACACACAGATCATGGTGTTTTGTGAGCACTTCATACAGACATAATATATTATTATATACATATAAAATCCTATTACAGATATATGTCTAATATTAATTGTTACTTCAGTCCAGTTACTCTGGTCTAATCTTATTCCTATCAGAACTCCACACTAAATCTTTAACCTTAAACAACGTCCTCCTCTGTGGGACTCTGTGGGCAATGTCCCCACAAGTATAGCTACACCAATACATATATGCACACACACACACACACATATTTCTAAACATTGGTACATCAATACATTCTTTAAACCCATGCCATCCTTAAATCCAACCTCAAAAACCTCATCCCTTAAAACGAAATCTCAATCAAAATTGAAGACACCAGCTCAAATGTCCACAAATACACACCAGTGTCATTGTATTTGGAACAGTGAGAGAGTGAGCAGAATCAGTTGGTCGTATAATATCTTCAGCATCTGGAAACCTCCAGACGGGAGCTCCAGCCAGTACTTGGAGTCGACACTCCTGTCCTACCGTAACACAGGAAAACAGAGAGAAACAGTCAACTCTGCAGTGGACTGGCCACAGGAGCGGACGACAATATTTATATTTATATTGAAGCTGGGGTAGGATTTCAGGCACCATAACATTGTCGCACCTGTTATTTCAGTCAGCCTGGAGTGCCAGGTTTCAGGGTGAGAGGTTAGGTGTCTGTGCCCCTCAGGGCCAAGGGTGCGTATGACTTCCTATGTACATGTGTGTATGAGGAAATAAATGGGATTATGTGGATGCACAAGAGCTGAGTTCATTAAATAAACTCTGTCTCGTAAAGGAGAACATGAAACTATTAAAGAAGAATGCACTGATACTGTTGAGTAGCACAATGACACCGGGGTATGCCGTCAGAGTGGATCACATGAAGGGTCCTCCACTCTGCTGTCATGTCCCTCTCATCACTCACGGGAAAAGATCAGGGTGACATTCAGGATGTGCACCAACCAGACTGAAGGAGACAGACGCTCGCACCCGTATCTCACGCTCAATTTACTCAGGACTCCTCGTCTCAAGTGGTCACAGAAATATTTATGTGCACTCTGTGTTCAAAAGCAATTATGTTAGAGTTTTTATAGCAGGAAGAGGATTGAACAGATTGTAGACTTTGAGAAGTGAGCTTCATAAATATCAGAAAGCGAATTTCCAAAATGTATCAGTTAGACGAGGGTAACAAAACAACAACCATTACATTTGAAATACTATTGTGAAAACCTTTATCATTGAGGAGACACTAACCATGGGAAAGGTTGAGTCAAAATCACCTGTTCATTTCAAATGTCAAATAAAACAATTGTTGGAATGAGGTCTGTATACCTGCACCCAAATTTGTTTTTCCAGTTTTCTCTTTTGACATATTTACATTATAAATGAATTCATGAATAGAAAAGAAAATAGATCACATTGGTGTCATTGACTTACACCATAAACCTACCATCCATATCCATGGTAAAATCAACGACTATCTAATGTTGTGTTGCACAAACACAGGTAAGAAGTTATTTTTTTCCTTTTATTCTTATGTTTATTACACAAAAAAGAACATCAAAGGTGTCACCTTCATCAAATCATTCAGCACATGGACCAAAACAAAAAAAAAGGAACTTCTCAGCAGAGTGCCCTGATATGTGTCCATTCAGAATTATTAAAAGTAGAAAAAAAGGCTTTTCAGTACTTTTATATATATATATATATATATATATATATATATATATATATATATTCATCACTACTTTAACACAAAAGCAGGCTCTTGTGTGAACACGTTTGACTGGAAAAAGTTCAGAAGCAGACATAAATGCCATTCCAAAAAAAAAAAGATTCATGTCATTCTTTAAACAGTAAAATGCAAATAAAAAAACCAGCCTTTGGTACAAAGTTATAAAAAAAGAGAAAACTCAGATCAGATGAAATAAAGCACTTTTTTGCATAATTATGAAAAACATTAATGTCATTAGCATAACGAAAATGTCAGTCATAGGCAAGGTACAGCCCAGCAATGCGTTGTGGGTAATAAAAAGGCAGAAAACCATGACTGCTTTATTGAGCACACTGACAGGAAGTGTCACATTTTGTGCCTGAACATTGCGTAAATGCAAACTTCACAGTAAATACATCCGTCTGGACTTCATCTGGTGGAAAGTGGATCATTGGAACACGGACTTGTGTTCAGTCTAAAGGCATAAGTAGTCAACTTAGAACAGAATTGGTAGAGAGACAGATCTACTGTTGGTACATCAGCGAGGCTACACTTGTCAAGGCTATAATTCAGACCTGAGCAGAGATGTTTGATTTGAACAGCTGACATAACTGAAGTGTTGGAAGGTGCTGTGTGTTTTATTGTTGGCTGACTGTTTGACTGTGTTTGATGTCTGCTGAAATAGGCAAGCAGCTTGAGAAATCCTTCACGTGTCCTTCTTGGTCAGTTACATACTACAGTGTCTACATGATGCCATTTACATTCTACAGGTGAGTTAGTGAACTCACAGCGAAAGCACTTCAGAGTCTGTGGTTCAGGAGAAACAAGCTGCGTTTGGTGGCTACATCAGAAACCCCTGTTTGGTTTTTATGGAGATCAGATGATGACGGTTTCAATGTGAAAGGCATGTGAGAAGGAAAGAGGCGAAGAGTGCTTCTGAAGTGGCCAGGACGGGGGTAAACTCGGGGTGGTGGAGGGAGAAGATGACGTTGACGAGGAAGAGGTGGGCGAGCGACTGGCCCATCGGGAGGGAAGGCGTCGGTTGGCAGGACGGGCCGGCCTTGAGAAACACTTTGGGGCCGGAGAAGAGGAGACACATGAAGAGGAGTCTTCATTTTCCTGTGGAGAAACAAATGAATTAACATTTAGGATTATCACACCATCCTGTCGCCAATCAAACGCACACACAGAGATACGTTACATTTTGTCACATGTTCCATCTGTTCTCTTCTTGACCCTAGGGAAAACAACAGGCACAATTCAAACAGGAAAAAACATCACATGGTTAGATGTTCTTTTTCTCTGCTCCTCGGTCATGGCAGAACAAAAGTGGTGACTGAAATCAAGTCGGATAAAATAGGCCTGATAATTGCTCCCACAATTTCTGAAACATTTGCATGACTTAAAAGTGGTGCGAGGGCAAGTGGTTTCTGCTGGTGATTTTGTTTGTAATTGCAACACAAAAGCCAGAAAATCACATGCACAATGAGTCCTTTTTTTAAGATAAAAGAAAAGTTGGTGAGAGTCAGACCTCAGATCCACATGTCCATTTGTTAGAATCCTCTGAGGCATGTCCCAGATACCAAGGCTATAATAGAGCCTTGGCCTGTGTCTGGATCACCAGAAATAAACAACCAGTAATTGGCAGGAGAATTATACAGTGCTGTTTGACATGGTTGTATCATAGTCAAATTAAAATACCATCTGACAATTTATTTGAAGAGAATTCTTCAGGGATGCTTGAAGAAGGGAAGCTGAAGTTTCTGTACATCGTGCTTGTGCATTTGTGTGTTTGTGTACAGTATGTGTGCACGTCTCAGTCTGTACCCACCTGCACTATAAGCTGAATCTCTTTCACACCCATGGCAGTGTGGCTGCTGAGCTTTGCGTGTGTGCTGTGTAGCTGTGCAGTGTGTGGGTTCTGTGTGTGTCTCAGAGTAGGGGGTAAAGGCAGAGGGTCCATGTCCAGCATGTCCAGTTCAGTGGCACTCTGCTCCCGCCCAACACTGAGGTTAGGACTTGAGTTCATTTCGTTCTTCTGGCTCTGGCTTTGTTGAGCCCGAGCTGCACTCTCATAATTCTTCAGAATTCTTTCCACTGCCCCGTAGTTGGACCTTGATCCCTCAGGTCGAGGGTAGGCGGCCAGAGTGAGGGGCTTCCAGGGGTGGTCATTCATCATCCGAGGCCCATGTCTGGAAGAGTCTGACTGAGAAGGAGGGACAGACGCATGCCTTGGCTGTGTCTGGTGCCCTGACTGTGTCATCTGTCTTTGTTTGTTCTCCACAGGCGACTGATGGGCTGAGGCGCCTGCCCTGGCTGCAGGCTGAGGCTTTGCTCCATGTGGATTGTCATAGTCAGAGATGGACGCCTCCACATTCTGACCTGGCTGGTTATTTGCAGACGAGACAGGATCAGGAAAGAGCAAGTCTGTGGCTGCTTTGTGCTGTGTTTTCCTGGAAGGACTGCCAGTGGTTTGAACTTGTTTCCTGGCATCGGCCTGGTGAACAGGACTGTGAGAGACCATTGTGTCAAACTGAGGCTCTTCAAATGGAAGATCAAACACATTTTCTTGGTTTATTCTTAATTCATGAGCTTCAAGACCACATGTCGTTTCCCTCGGTTGGACCTCTGATATTTGAAGAATGGAATCTGCTAACATTTCAGGATACACACCTGCAGCACCAGTGCTGACATCAGTACAATGTGTCTGAAATCTTGTTTCCCGCTCTGATGCTGCGGTGACAGCTTGGCAACTCAGAGAAGAGGCGTCAACGACAGAACTGTCAGCTCCTTTAAAACCCCGGCCCATGTCGACATGAAACAAAGTCCGGTTGAACTCTGCTGTTTTTTGTTCCAGCACTATGTTTCTTCTGGAGCCCTGTAGGTTGGGGTTCACAGGTGTGTTTTCTGTAGACGACAGCAACGTAGCTACAGGTGATTCTATGACCAGTGGAGGCTCCATTTGTAGATCGGGATTTGTATAGTTACCGTCACCTGCACCGTAGTCTGAGCGCGTGTCTTTCCCAGCACACCGTATATTAACTTCAGAGAAGCTTTTCTGCACCGTTCCGCAGGAAGACAAGTTGCCAGTGCTGAACCTGCTGGCGTCGCAAGACCATCGGTTGTGGCAGCAGCCCATGTTACAGTTAGAGTTAGCAGGTACGGTGCAGGATGTTACCGCTCCATCAATAAGAACTTTTCCCTCGTTTTCCTGTAGCATGGCCTCAAACTTCCTGACGATTGACGGACTGTTGCACTTTCTGTCCACCAGGACACATGGGCTGTGGCACTTCCTAAGTGTAGTCTGTGGGGATTCTGGGATGTGGAGTTCTGTGTCTGTCTGGGCAGGTGTGCTCAGATTCCAGGAGGAGGTGCGTGGTGGGATGGGTGGAGCTGGTGCATCCATATCAGAGAAGTTGGCTCTCCAGGTGTTTTCTGGTGACAAGGCCATCCAGTTTTCCCTTTCCAGTGCTCTGAAGTCGTCGTAAATTTGACTGAGATCACAGGCAGGTTCGTCCACCTGCAGTTGGTTTTGATCCTGGCAAAACAGCCTTTCACTTCCCTCTGCTACATACTGGGATTCCGATGGATTCCTGCAGGAAATTAAGCAAAAAAAAAGGAGAAATCAAGTATACGTCATTTTCCAATATTAGGCTTTTTTTCTAACATTTTACATTTTACTAAAGGACCATGTGACTATAACAGTTCAATGTTGGTGCCAGAAGGTTAAAGTGCATTTACCTCTTATCTACACTCTTCCTTCTAATCTCATCCTGGTAGCTGCAGAGCTCCTCACTTACACGTGCAATCTCCTTCAGAGCCTGAGGATCAGAGGCACATGGGGAAGAACAATTGAACGCTGTGGACTGAAGAAGATTTGTCAGATAAAAAAATCTATCATCTGTTCCAAATTCACACTCAAGACAAGAAGACATGCTTTTAGAACTGACCCATTTAATGAGACATAAAGATCACTTTATAAAGTAATAATCATAACCTGTGATTTTGCTGACTGAGGGCATTGTTTTTCAGGAAAAACAAAACAAGAATACAATAAAACAAAAGTTTGTAGAACTGAGGAACACTAAGTTTAGAAATTCACGTATTTTAAAAAAACAGTAGAGGAAATTAAAGTTCTCAAAAGTACTTGAACAAGAAACAAAGTCACACAAAAGACCCTAAAGGCCCTAGAATGAAACCAGACACAGTGACTCACTCAGCAATGTCTGGAACCTAAGAACAAAATAAGACACTAGATCTCTTCACAAAAGAAGAACTAAGAGGATCCACACTAATAAAACGCTACTTCACTTTACGTCAGCTGAGGAGATACCACTGAGCCAGACTGAAAAATCCAGTCCAGTCCAGTGAATTCCAGGGGCTAATGCAGGAGATGTGATGAGCTTGGGAGATTTATCAAGAAAGAATGAGGCCTTGATATGTTTGGACATATTCTGACATTTAGTCAAATCTACTGATCGGTCTGTTACTCAACGAAACAAGAACACAACTGACGGCTAGATCAGGTGATCTGTTATTCATTTTCTCCGATTCAGTGAGAAACTTACAGCATTGAGAGTCGTGGAGTTCTTCTTCTTGTCACTGCCATAACGCAAATCAGGTCCAACAGGACCTTCTTCTGGACCAATGTGGACGTTGTGTTGACTCCCACTGGTGCCGTTTCTCTGTTTCATTCCACATTCAGGGGTTTCATGAAAAATAGCAGCCGGCTCTCCACTAACGTCAACAGAGTCGGTCTGCCAAGGGCCTCTGGATCTCAAATCATCGACCGGCCCGGCTCGCGGAGGCTCATTCTGACTCAACTGACCAGCTATATTGAAGTCACAGAGGTTTCCTGCTTGGAAACAGGTGGGTTTATGACTCTCCCTGCCACCAATATTTCTGTTAAGATTGAAGCCAGGAAACTGTGGCGGCCTGTTCTGCTCCCATTGGCTGCTGCTGCTGATCAGTTCAGTGTGGGAGTGGTCACTGAGCAGACTGGAGCCTGTGCTGGTGGAATTAACACTCAGGCTGCGCACCACATCATCACTGTCCAGTCTGGTCCCCTCTCTCTTGGCTCTCACTTCACAGTATAGCTAGACAGGAAGAGAAACTGAATTATGAATTCACCCAAATCAAGGGCCAAGTTTTAGTAACACATTTAAAGTTGAACAGCAAATATTCACAATCATTACACATAAAGTACCAGGACCCATCTACTACTTTGAGACAAAAATAGTAACACAGGATGCTGTAGAGTCAGGAGGGAGCAAATTTAGATTGCATAGAAATAAAAAAATCATCCGGAGAATTCTTCCACATAAAACTGGATAACCTCTGGCCTCGAACCAAAGAATCCTAAAATAGTAACTATTTCAACTTTGCTGGACTCTCTTCCCATCGTGCAATGTTTAGACGGGACTTAAACCTCTTAGTCTCTTCTATTCCTTGGCTCTCCCCCTCCCCTTTTCTGGGCTCTAAGGGGCAAATGAGAGCCACATGTCCTTTTCATAACAAGCCCTTTCACTGCCTTCACTCGTGTCTAGCTACCAGCGTATGCCTTGATTCGTTAAAAACACTAACTGTGTCAGATCTCAATCTGCTGTTAGCCTCGGGCTTCATCACAACCTATGAATAACTCTTTCTTAGCCTCATTAATACAGGCTGAACCATGTCCTGCTTCTTCTGCTGCGGTTTACTGCAAACATTTAATTGCTGATCCAGACACCGTAGGAAATTCTTCCAATTAGTTTGGCGTCTTGCATGTTGTTCAGGTCAAAATATTCCGTACATTATTATTGGATTAAGTCAAACAATGCAGGATTCAGTCATTTGCCATTCCCTTTTCATGTATTTCAACATTACCTATACATTTCACAGTCTATTTTATCTTATTTTGGGCCTTTTATGCAAACATGCTTCTAAATATTGTTTAGATTCTAACTACAGTAATAGTAGTAGATAGATAAGGTTTGAGTACCAAGTCTATATTAGTCTATATTAGACTAAAGTTTTGTACTGTCGACGTGTAACTGTTATGGAAGAGGAAAGAGAACGCAGAAGGCCGCACTGAATGGACTGAGTACTCTTCTTCTCTTCTTCTGTTGCATGCCAGCTTCTCTCTCTCCATCACCACAGGCCACAGCCCAAATTACTGCATCTGTGTCAGTACCCAGAGGTCAACACAAACAACAGAGCCCACACCCTTCTCCTCCCCCTCCTTCCTCTTACTCTGCAGCTGCACAAATCAAGATGATTGTTTTGACAGTGTTTGCGATGAACAGGATGTGTAGGAGGGAAGGGTAACACACACTGACAGCATAATCACGTATGGTATATCACCACCACATTACTAATCGTTTACGTTTGACAAATTTAACCACACATTAACCATGTCCTACCTCCTCAATTTTTTTCTGCATATCTCTCAGCTGGGTCTCCCACTCTCTCCTCTCCATGTCGAACCTCTCCAGCAGCTCCGCTTTCTCTCTCAGCCAGTCCCTCTCTGTGTGCTCCAGACGGTAGCGCAGGTCCATGGCTGCTGCGTGCGTGTCGGTCCGGAGCCTACACTGTTCTTCTTGCTCCTGGAGTAAAGTCGGGGTCTCACTGTACTGTTCCTGAGCGCCGTGCAACGTCACCGGGCCATGACCTGAGCGAACCTTTCTACTTGCAATTCCAGTACTTTCTTTTGCCTCCAACTGGAAATTAAAACAAAAATACATATATAGTTGACACGTGAGCACAAGGGAGAAGTGTGAAGGTTACACTGAAATAAACATTTGATCTTTGCTGAAGGATAGATTGTAGTTGGAAAAATAAAAGAATGGGGCCAAGTGACGAGAAAAACAAAGTTTCAGAGATGGAGCTGGAGATGGAATTAAGAGAATGAAGGAGTGGCAGGAAGAGAGGTCAAGGAAGCAGGAGGAAAACCACCGTGGGGACAGGAGTGAGTGGGTTCAACAAAAAGCAAAAGAAAGGGTCTGATTAGAAATATTCTACAGGAATCCTCTCACGCAGTCCACCGGTTTAAAGGTCAAGCCTCTTTTCTGCTGGCATTTCACTAAAACAGGATACAGTGCAGGATATGGCAGATTCAAGTGCAGAAAAGTATGTCTACAGAGGATGCACATGGGCTCAGGCTACACTCTGGTGGATCACTTTTAGTGAAAGACAGACATGAGCAGGTCAAACCTCCAAAACTTTTTAGAAGACAATGTAAAAAAAACACCAGGTGTATTAGTTTTAACTGACCTTCTCTGAATAACTCCAATCAATGCCCAATTTAAGAGAAAATCCCTGGGCATTTCCCTTGGAAGTTCACTCCACTAAGACCAAAACCAGAACCCAAAGAAACATGTTATCACTTTAGTTATAACAAAGAACAGTTTTTCCAAACTATGATCAAATGTAGAGGGTACTACAAACTCCACAGATTTAAATATTTACAGTCAGAGAAGGAGAGTTTGGAAGTCCGGGGTTTGCTTTGAAACATCCTTTACCACAGATATTTCTCTGACCTAGAGAATGGACTAAAGAACAAGGGTGTGTTTTAGCGCATACAGAACTCTGGGCACTCAGTGGTGCATATGTACATTTCTCATGCTTGTAAAAGCAGGGGAACATTTTTGGCTTTGGAACTGGAAAGATACCAAGACAACGCCTGTGTATGTGCATATACCCTTGTGCTTTTTTGTGTGCGTGTTGTTTCAGTTTTTCAGTAACAGTCATGGGCCAAAGCTTTTGTACAAGCCTCGGTCGTGGTGCTATTTCTGCCTGTGGCCTGGGGTCAAAAAATTATGGTTTAGGCAAACAAGTCAACCCTCTCTGTCTGCCTGCGGCTCGTCTCCGGGGTTTTCTTCACAATTACAGATGGGTGATGATGGGTGCCGTCCAGGGTCTATTTAAACACCCAAATGTAAGCAAATGTTGAGAGTGCAAAAACAAGGTGGTTCAAGTGAAAATAAATGAATTGCAGACCATTTGTCAGCGATTATGAAAGCAAATCATTTGCCTCAAGGAAGTCATGAAGGAAGAAAACGGCATCACAGCCAACAAGTCACATATCCAGCTACTCCAACATTTGGCACAGGGTATATGGAGGTAAGTGTGTCACCACAGTGACCCACTATATATAGTGGACACACAGCCTTGTACGATGTCACATTCCGAGGGGAGGTGGGGAGAAGATGTAAAGTGGGGTGGCTCCATGAGGCAGAGTAAGATATCTCCTGGCTGCCACGGGCTTAAAATATGAGGGGAAATATTCAGACTTGGACCTTGGAGACTTGCTTGGTCTCATGATCTCTAAACAACGTGGAGACGAGATAGAGAGGTTTACATTCACAGACTGAACAGACTGATCCAGACAGAACAATAACATGGTCGTTTCCTTTTAAACATGTTCTTGGGATTAGAATAATGAGGTGAATCTCTTGTTGAGAATTAACCGTACAGTGTCACCTCAAAACCTCCCACCCAGACTCCTTTGGTATGTACTATTCCCTTAAATGTAGTCGTCTCTATTTTGCATTCTTTAAGCTAACATTTTTGTTCATTTCTTCACGGTGCAGTAATGCAGGCATCTGCCCATATTTTTCTGTTTTACGCCTTTCAAAGCCATTTCAGGGTGAAGCCAGAAAGAAAGAAAATATTAAGGGAAAGAAATAATCCGTTCAGCCTTGGAGACATATTAGACATATTATTGGAATAAATATGAACCTCTGAGTGGTGTTCTAGGATTATTGAAGGCAAGAACGTTGTTGTAAAGTTTTATTTTATTGCCGTAACATTTTTGATTCTTTTAGAGAAGGGATTTTTGTAACAACAGGAGGAAATAGCAAAGTATTTTCTCATTCAATATTAAATGTTTTTCACATGTCACTGTAATTCACAAGTCACATAGAACGTACAGATTTCTGAAAATAAAGGTGGAAATAGTGAGGGAATAAAACTGCTTTCCATATCAGACTTCTATTTCCGTTCTCAATCACTTAAAGGTCAATTATTTACAATTGGTTAAAACATTGTAATGTAAGATAAACAGCAATGGCTCAAACCAGACAATTAAAGTGCACTTTGTGTATTTTGAGCTTTATGAGTGCTCTATGAGTAGTAAACATGTATGCTGATGTAGGAACGTCAGCAGGATGTGGCATCAGGACAACAACAACCTTTGACAATGGAGCTGACCCCACCCAGTGAGGCTTCACCAGTCATTTCCATGTGTCTGTTTGTGCAATTACTGTAAAAAAAAATTGTGTCTCAGTCTCTCTGTAAGCATATTATTTAGTATTTTGATTTTTTTTAAATACATATATATATTTATTTTTTTTCTTTCTAGCAGCTGTGTCAGAATGTTAGTTCTGACCTCTTCAGCAGGGATGCATGACTTTAGTGCCTTTCGTGTTCACATCAGCTTCTTGATATAAACATGTAGCCTGTAGCCTCTCTATGTGACATACTGGCATCATTGTGTTGCCTCCTGCAGTAGATCAAGCCTCCTCTCTTATACGTAGTGCCTCACTGGGCTTTTCAAACAAAAGCAGAACAGTTAATGTCTCTGTTTTTTTCTGAGTCTGTGTCCAACCACACTGTGAGTAGGCACAGAGCCAGCAGGACAAAGAGAAAAGCTGAGTAGTAGCACTGTGCCATCCACACACACGCAGACAGACTCTGAAACCATTTACAGTATGCGAGCTGCATTATTAGTGAAAGCCCTGTCACGGGGATGTGTTCCTGAATTGTCATCTGCTCTTCAGCATCATGTCATCATGTCATCAATCTTCTGTGCATGGCTACACTTCCTAACTACGGTGGGAGAACAATTTGATTCTAACAGCTTTAGAGGACAAACAATGAGAGAGCTGTGATTGATGGGTTAATGCGTGACCAATCAGTTTTCAGTTCAGAATAGGAGTCGTATTGAGTTCACTTGGAAAACAGGCAGCGGACACAGTCACCAAGTCAAAGTACATAACAAACAATCAAAGGTTTCACTTATTTCATATCAACCTTTTTGATTTTTTTTCCAACTTTAGTCCAACTTTATGAATCCATCATATGACAGCAGAAACAGATGCCAAACCAAAGCCTTTGAACACACTGAGAATAGCGATGTGAAGTCTTTGTAGTGAACTGTGCAAAGCCTGACACAGAAAGGCACTGGTATGTAAACAGAACTCTCAGACTTTTCTCCCCATTTCCAGGATCATTAACAGTAGCCCTCTGTGGAAAACACAATATTTCAGCTGCTCAGGGAAAGCCAAGCTGTTAAAAGCCAAGTCTAGTGTCTGTGTCTGGCTGACTGGGGATCAGATCCTTTGTCTAAGCTCAGGCTCAAGTTGGACAAATGCCAGGGTGACTTATCACTGTGCCATGTGGGTGGTAAACGTGGCCCACAGCCAGCATGCACCACACTTCAGATAGATGTGAACTCATATGAGAAGGTAAACAAAAGTTGACACCAGATATTAAGTTTAAAAATAAAACATATTTTAAATGGTAGGTTTTTTTTCTTTATTATAATTTCTTGCTGGACAGCATGCACTTGTCCTGCACATACAGTAAATAGTAAATACAGGAAACGTTGAAATGACTGTGAATAGTTCACAGCAGGGTCAGCATACTGTAGTTACCAGGGGTCATGGGTCAAATGTACTTGATACAGTAGAAATAGATCTCCAAACTGTCTTGATATGGAGTGGAAAATGTTAAGCTAGGTTTCAGTAGGGCCTACACATGTCTACAATATCTTTTAGGATGTTTTAGTTTAATTAAAAAATGACAATAATAGATATACATTAGCTTAGAGGTCAATATGAAAAAGTTGAACTTCTTTGACTGCAATTTACACATGCCATGGGTGGGTCTTTTTAATAGAGGGTTTAGTCATGACCAAATTAGACCAAGATGACATCATCATCATCATCATCATCATCCTTCACTCACCTGTGCAATCCTGCACTTGAGCTCAGCCTTCTCCAGCTCCCAGCCACATCTGTCTCTGGTGTACTGCAGCTGGAGCTCACTCCTCTTCTCCTCCTCTCTCTTCACCTCCGTCTGCACTTCCTCCAAAACCGTCTTCAGGTCCAGCAGAATCCTCCTGTTCTCCCCTCCCTGCATGGAAATAGTTGGCAGAAGACTCTTGTCAACCAAACATTCTAGAGGAGCTTTCCGCTTTCCCAGGAATAACTGCAACACACATATTCAGAGTGTGCTGAAAATGAATACTCAAAATACAACATGAATTATGTGAACATAAAGTATCTGACATGTATTACCCTGGAGAATATTCTGTCATTCACATTTAGTGCCACACGCCCCTATAAAATGACATGCCAGGGAATATTTTGTAATCCACACTGACCAACATACTTGAACAGAATAAACAGTAGGCAACATTCTAGAAGTACCACAAAAACACATATATGGCCCACACAGATACACGGCCCTCCTTCTAGTCAAGGGGTAATTATTCCTAATTACTTGTATGTCTGCCACTTCTCTCAACAACGACTCCTTCTCACGCGTCCACTCCTCCTTGTCTTGCACATGTCGCTTTTTTAAATCGTCAAATTTCTTCTTCAGCCTGGAGTGTGGTGTTTGCTGCTGCTGGGATTCAGGGCTCGGCCACATTTGTCCCCTGACGATCTTGAACTGCGCCCCTGCTTCACATTCACCTCCGTCGGACGAGGCGTCGAACTGCGGTTCGTAGATTTGACTGAAGACGGTGGGCGGAGAGGAGACCCGTCTCAGAGGATTGCGGGCTTTGCCTCTGCCTCTGTCTGCTCTCTCCATCCTGGAGCAGGGCACGAACTCCCATCCCTGGGACTGCACGTATCCCCCGACTGCGCCGCCCCCTCCGTGCAGCCCCGAACCGTTCATCAACGCACTCCACATTTTCCCAGCGCATCAACACAAGTCACGAAAAAACAACTTAATTAGTTTAAAAAAAAAAAAAGTCAAAAGCGGATGATTAGTGTGTTGGAAGTTCTCCGTCCTCGTTTAAGTTTAAAATAAAAACCATTAAACAGTTGTTGCTTTGGCGACCCGTGCCCTAAAGCGCACAATATTATCCAAACCCGGTGGGTCGAACAGCAGGAGCCAGGGCACCAGTCACCTCAGTGGTCACACAGGAGGCAGCGCTGTCTGATCTGGTCCCCTCCATGTCCTCACGCTGACAAAGTCAAACCATTGTTTTGCCGAAATCGTCTTTTGGTGTCCTTCTGCTGCGCCTGTGCCACTCTTTATTCCGTTTCACATCTTTACACGCACTGTGTCGTGTCGCGTCCGTCTCTCCCTCTGCACGGATCCTACAGACAACAATCCAGAGAAGACACGCAGACTAACCACAGCTCCGTCGCGAATGCTAGAAGTTCCCAAAAATATCACGGCGCGCACTGATGTAAGAGCAGCAGCGGGTATTTTTACACCCAGTAACCAGGAGTTCGGTCCCCTACAGCCGGAGGCAGAGGGGACACGTCCATCAATCAAAACGCCAGAGATTCTCTAATTACATCACACACAGCAGCTCCTCGTGGTAACGCAGTAATTAGTGCAATGCATGTCAAAGTAATGATTACCCATCACTGGAATGACATCAGATGCAACAACAACTCTATAGGTGGGGTCAACTTCTCCAGGGTGACTGTGCCAAAAGTTGCCTTACCTCGGTAAGGAGATAGCGTGTTTACTTTCCTCTTTTCTCATCCCCAGAGTCCTCCCAGCCTTCCGGCATTGATCATCCGCTATCTAACTGTAAGAGGAGCTGACTATCACAAGGCAAGGGCAGAGCAGGAATTTTCATAAACTGTGTTTAGGATGTGGTAAAGTGATCCACCCAGTAGCTTCACATCAGACATGAATACAGAAGCTAACACAGTCATCACCGGTCTTCCTCTACTCCAGCTGATCTCTGAACAGATCAGCTGGAGTAATGTCATCTTTTCATGCTCAGCATTTTGTTCTGTACAAACAGATGAAGTTTATTTCAGTCAACACAGTAACAGACCCTCACCTCCTCAATGAATGTGATCCCCAACCCTGTGATGCATGTCCAGCATTAGAAGAAGAAAAAAGTACCTCAACGTCCACATGTGGAGAATGTGAGCTCAAGTCTGGTCTGGTTTGCAGTGGTTTAGTCCCAAACAACTGTAGAGACAGAGAGAGAGGGAGAGAGGGAGAGGAAGGGAGGAAACGATGGTTTCATTAACTCTTTCTCTCTCACTCCCTCTCTCTCTCTCTCTGTCTGTATCTCTCCTCCTCTCCACAGCTGGAGCTAATATGTGACGTCAAACTTCCCACCTCTGGAATAACAGCAGTGGATCAGGTCTGCCTCTGTCCTGTTGGCGATATCCTGACCCATAATTCAACTTTTCTGGCTTCTTTCTTCAGCAGTGTGTGAAATCACTGATTCATTTTGAGGTCTAAAAAATTAAAAATAAATAAGTAAAATATGGCTGCCAAGCAAGGGTGTGGAATTGCCTCTGAAATTATGTTCATATCAAGTCATATGTCAGTCCAACAGTTGAGTGCAAATACTCACCCAAAAACTCAATATTATTCTCTGTGGTAGATGGTGAAAGCATCAGTACAACGGGTTGATGGAGCCATACTTGGGAAATGACAACTTCCTGTACATTGAATGACCTTATGGCATTTGGACATGTTTAACTTAAAGTCACCAAAATGAATGAATAATTCAAATAAATTAACAAAAGCATATGTCATAAATGACTAGAAAAAATTAAAAAAAATTAGAAACTGAAAGTGGGCTTTATAAAACGAAAAAAAAAATAGAAACTGAAAGTGGGCTTTATAAAACAAAGAAAAGGGTGAAAAGGAATACTAATTTAAAGATGGTGGCATAAGAGAGCGAGGAAAACAGAACAAGGATGAGAATCAGCAAAATAATGGGCTGAAACATCTGGATGGATGGAGAGACAGAGGACAGAGGAAAGAAGTTCGATCAGTTAGATAAGTGTACATTGAATAGCATTGTAATTAACATTATATTTTGGCATTGTTATCAGCTTGTGGGTTTTTGTTGTTGTTTTTGTTATTGTGCTTACAGACAGTGGCTCGTCGGCCTGTTTGTCCTCCTGCTTAGGTACATCCAGATGATCTATGAAGCTCTGCAGCTCCTTCCTGAAGGCCTTCATCTGAGCATTGATACGATACAGCAGCTCATGCTCCCTGATCCTGTAATGGAGGAGAGAGAAAGCTTTTAGTTTTTAACACTTCTGTGATAATTCAATAAATATATGTTGTCACAGTGTAGATGGTGATTTTATAAAGTCAAATAAGAAGCAGTTTTATGACACAGGAGCAGTGGGGGAGTTTGTGCTGGCTCAACACACCGTACTTATATTAAGGGTGGGATTTGAACCGACAGTCTCTGAATGTCCATGCATCAATCCTGTGTTTTTCTACTCTCCACAAACACATGCTTCTGTTTCTACCACCAGGGTCAGCTTTGTTTCTTCTACATTACCTTCCACCTTCTTCGTCCTCATCCATCCTTGCAAACAGCTCTCCGTTAGTGACGTACACTCGGGCCTCTGCGATGATAGTGCTGGTGTCAGCGATGAGCCTGTCGATGGTCCGGCCCAGCCTCTCCGCTTCTATGCGGATGTCTATCATATGCTGCCGGTCCTTCAGGCTTCTGGATAAAAAACGGCTGTCTGCAGGTGAGTAAAGGGAGCGCGTTGGGGTGAGGCAGCGGATGTTCCTAACCTCATCCGAGTCACTCTCTCCCCCAATAGGACCCTCACGCTTGCGGTGGGGCGGGAGGAGACGAGGAGAGGAAGCCGAGGCGGAGGGAGTGTCGTCATCTCTCCCTCCATCACTCTCCGCGTCACTGTCCCGCGGACTACCACGGATGCCCAGGTGGGAGGCCAGGTCGTAGCGCTGCATGTTGGAGAGCAGCACACGATTCTCGTACTGGAGCTGCATCACTTTGCCACTCAGTTCATTGATCTGCAGACGTGCTGCTTTCAGCTCCTCCTGGAGGGTCTCCACTTTAGCAAGTTCAGCTGCTCCTGGGGATAGAACAAGGGGACAGTGAGAACTGGAACACTGCTGTGGAAGAGACTGTACTTTACAGCTTTTGGAGTCTCCTCTCTGTGACATATTTAGGTGGAGAATATAGTTCTTATTTCTCTCTAACAAAGGTCGAAAAGGGAAAAAAACACAAACCTCCTCCATGTCTTGATCCAGCCTCATGGGATCCAGCCTTATATTTCAGTTTATTGAGTTCATTTGTCACCTGAAGAGAAAACTGAATGTTATCTCCATGCAGCTAAATAACAGCAGACACTAGTGAAATATCGCTGATATTTACATATTTACATATGCACAAAACCACTGATAAATCTGCAGCAGATGATCACACAAAATAATTTCTAAATTCCAAATAATAAATCTAGACATAACGTAATCCCAATCAAACCAGCAGTAGCCTGGGCATATTTAATCTCAATCCCACTTGTCTACCGTTCCTTCTTCAACTCTACCTTTTTGTTCTCTTCCTCCACATCTGCTAAATTCCTGCGGAGTAGTTCAGCCTCGTCTTCCACCAGCTGGAGCTGCTGCCTCAGCTCTGACAGGGCCTCACTCTGCTCCCTGCACTGCTGACCTCCGCTGCCAGAGCTGTCCACACCTGCCGCCGCCATACTAGAAGAAACCAAGCAGAGAGCACTCAGAACATCATTTCCCTTCCCGTGTTTTTCTTGACAGCAGATAAGATCACATTTAACCATCAGTTATTTCAAAATACAGCTGATCAAAATTCACCTGTCCTCCCTCATGTCATCCAGCTCAGCCTTCAGTCCCCTGTTCTCCACCTCCAACTCCACAATCTTCCTTCCAAGAATATTTGCCTCCTCCTCCACCAGGCGCAAGCGGAGCTTGAGTTCTGACTCTCGGGTGGTTGGGGGTCCCCCAGCTTCACCTTTGGGCAGTGGGCTATCCACGTCCCCATAGAAGGAGCGGTACTTCTGCAGCTCCTGCTCCAGACGGTCCTTTTCTTTGTCGATCTTTGCCATCTTCTTCCTCATCAAGATGGCCTCCTCCTTGATGAACGCTAGCTGGCATTTTAGATCCTCGTTTTCTTCCTGTTAAGTAGATAATTTAGGGTTTGGTTCTACAGGTGACGTCTCTCTCACTGATATTACACCTCAGCTTTGATATTCTTCATAATCTCTATGATTGGTTTTTCACTTGACAATGCTGACTCACTTCAACTGGAGTCTGTGGAGTCTTCCTCTCTGCCTTCTGTCCGTCTTTGTTTCCTCTCCTCTTGAGTGAAAGCTGCAGGGAAACATCAGCAGTGGTTACATCAGCAACAGCAGCTCACAGTTTTTTTTTTACTGGAACAACTGATATCATCCAGATGTATGGACATAGTCAGGGCTCAGTAATGGAAAAAATATTCAAACTCATTCTCCAGAACGCTGTTGTAAAACACTGAAATTTAACACGTGGTCATCGATGAGTGCCAGCGTGATTTTATAGTCTTCAATTGAAAAACTGCCACAAATTGTGTATTGTAAATCATACTGTCATGTCATAAATTTGACACCAGTGTGTTGGACATTATTGGCTGCTGCACTGACATAAAACAGAACCCAGTTTCTTTTAGGTTGGGGGGGAGGGTTTCTAAATACTGTTGCATTTATTTTATTTTTCTAATTATTTTATTTTATTCAGGGTGTATGTGTGAATCCATACTGGACATTATTCTCTACTGTCAGGATGACGTGCATTGAACGTGTATGATGTCATCTTGGGTGTAACAGTACCATGTTTTTAAACCCTGCCAATTAATATGGCATCACCTCATTCAAACTTACATACAGTATATGACTGCTGAGAAATATAGGCAGGAACCCAGAGGAACATCTACATTTATATTATTTTAATATGTATGTATGTATGTATGTATGTATGTATGTGTGTGTGTGTGTGTGTGTGTATGTATGTGTGGGTGGGTGTTTTCTTGGGTTTCTTTTTGCTGCAAGTTGTCTGAGTCGGCTGTAGTCTATCAATTTAGATGCAGTTCACCAAAAACACAATCACCCTTTAACTTACTCACTTATTCTGCAAGCACAGCCCATACTGCTCCCATTGAAAACCTTATACATTATGCAGAAGATATGCACAGCACAGCCTATTGTGACTAATGCCTCGGTGAGCGCTGTACTCAGCCATTCTGCTCTCTTACATCTGTGGGCCGGCTCATCAGTAACGCTGACAGAGGAATTATTCAGACCTAAGTGGCTTGTCAGAACATCCTGTTGGACCTGGGACAGGTGACTCTCCGGCCTATACAACACGGCTCCTCCTCCTCTCTTTCTATAGGCCCTGACCTTGTGCCGACCTAAGGCTTGGCTCATCGTGCGTCTGTCTGCGTGGTCCCCAGATGGTAGCGTTTGATCAGTGTGCAGAGAATCAGTGTGCAGAACGGGTGGGGTAAACAGCCGCGACACCTGACTATTAATCAAGGCCAGCAGCTCTGGGCACTGTGTGAAACAGATTGCTGAAAAATGGATGAGGAGGAGAGAAGGGAGGCAGGAGAAGAGCTCCAAACTGAAGCAGGAAGGTGTGAATATTTATCGTATTCTTGACTAAATCTTTGGCTACAATACTACAGACAATGAACGCCACTGGATTTCTGCTGCCACTGTATGTTACAAGGCCTGTTTCTGTTACTAGTTTCAGGTGCAAGAACAATACAAATGTCCACAAATCTGTGTTCTTCCTGTTCACTTCAATGAGCCATGTCGTGTCTTTATGACACGTCCTATGGTGGCTTCAGGAAAACAAGCAGCATCACAGCAGCACATTAGTGGCCATCTTACAATATGTTACCAGACGGTGGATCCTACTGCAGTGCAGTAAAGGAGTCCCTTCATGATACTTCTCACTCGTGGAACTGTCGCCCCCCCTTAATTCTCCCACACAGTCAGACCTGGCCTCATCGTTGGAGTGACTCCCCCCAGCTCTGGAGCCTGTTGTAATTCTAAATCGCTGCTGTTCATGGAGGAATTTTCTGTCCTCTGTCAAACAATGGCCCACTGCTGGAGGACATCTATAGGACTAGATCTTGTTTTGTTTTGTAAACAGCTCTTGTAGATCAGGAAGAGCTTTGTTGGAGATCCCTAGATCTAAAATCATCTAAAATCATCACTAAATCAAGCTTTACGCCAATTCTTAACCTTGCGATTTGCGCAAACAGCCGCGACTTGCTTACGCCCACATCAACCGTTTAGCAGACTCTCCTTAACCCCCTGCCAACACACACACTTCCCGTCTGTCCAGGATGTCTTGGCATGGGTGAGGGACAACGGTATGGTGTGTGTGTGTGTGTGTGTGTGTGTGTGTGTGGCACAGATCCCAGGGTAATGGCATCTACTCATTGCCAGAGTTTGAGGAACAAACAGACCATCTGTCCTCTCCAGGGGCCCAGATGAGATCGACTTATTTATACTGATTATTTCAGGGTTAAGTGTGATTTATGAATGCTGACTTTATCTCAGTTCGATGCGTTTCAGGCTTTCTTCATATTTCATCTTTTCAAAATAAATTATAGCAGAGTTTTAACTTATTTGCTTCACAGTTTCCTGAAGTAAATTTATGGGTCAGCTATTCCGTGAGGCTGGAAAAAAAACCAATGAAAGTCATTGAATAAATACCTCAATATATATAAACTTTATTAAAATGTTCCAATTTGGGAGTTGTTTTCAGATTGTCACGCCTGTTCTATGAGTTCAATAAGAACCTGAAAATTCTGGGATTTTTGGGTTTTTCTGGTCAATGTTCTGTTTAACAGGTTCACCATCATTGAATATACATGGCCAACATGATGGTTTAGTCCTGCAGCAGGAAGGAAACTGGTATTCTCATGCTTAGCACACCTCTTCAAAATGGTATACCGGTGGTGGATGTGCATACACACATCTGCTCCTGAGGTCCTCACCTCCTTGGCCTTGTCCAGTTCATTCTGCAGGGCCTGTTTGGTGACTTCCACTTCAATCAGTTGCTGCCTTAGCTTCTCGTTTTCATCCTCTGTCTTTGTCCTTTTCTCCTCCACATTTTCCAGCTCGTGGTGCAGACGCACGGAGACGTCCTTCGCCACCTGCAGGAGGGACAGGGACAAAGAGAAGAATAGGTGGAGGATGGACAGATGGGAGTTGTTAATGATTCAGCGTGTGCACAGAGCTCAGGCATTAAATGCTGGATCATTCCAGAGTCTCGCCTTCAGGTCTTGCTCCAGGCTTCTGAGCAGCTCTCCATCCACCTGCCCACTCTCTGTGAACCGCAGCCTCTTTCTCTCGGCCTTTTTAAGCCGGTACTGGAGGATCCTACAGTTCTTGTTGGCCCTCTCCAGCTCTCTGCGCATGTCCTGGAGCTGACAGGCGTCTTCCTCATAGAACGTGTCTCGCATCTCATCCATCTCCGCCCGCATCTCTTCGATTTCAGTCTAACAAGACAAAGAAATACAAAAAACACAATGGAAATGAATGTGCAATGAATAGTTACGTTCATACAGCATTGTGTAGCCTGCAGGCAAACAACAGGTGCAACTATATTGCACTGACATCGCCAAATAAGCATTGTTCTCATTATAGATTTAACCACGTTACCTTTAGATCCTCGTTTTCATCCTCCAGCTTCTCTATCTCATCCTGCAGCCCCTGGTCTGGCTCTGGAGCCGGCTGTGGACGGTCGTGTTCCGGCGACAGCTCCGGCTCTGAGGCCGGCGGTGATGCTGATTTCGTCTGCATCTTTGTCCCTTTCTTCCCGAGGCTCTTGTTCAAGTGAAACTGTATCAGCTCAGACTGCAAGCATCCCTCCTTCCAGAAGCCCGGTCCGCATCCCACCGTGCCTTTGGAGCTCTTCTTGCTGCTGCCCGTCGACGCGACGGCCTCGCCTCCTTTCGGATTTTTGTTTCTCAGTTTGGGGGATTTGGATGCGCAGGGCTGGTCGGAGACAACGCGGTTCGTATCTACCCTGGAAGGTGACTGGACATCAGCAGCTGGGCGGGTGCAGTCGTCTGGAGTCTGGACACCGCCTCTGTTCGGGCTTTCAGCACCAGCAGTCTGGACAGCAGCCGCGCCTCTGGTGGCAGGAGCGCCGCCGGCCTGCCGCTCCCTACCGGTGGAGACAGGAGAATGACCTCGGCTGTTTCTCCCTCCTCCTCCTCCTCCTCCTCCCCCGCCCCCCCCCCCAACACCCCCCCCACCCCTCCCACCCCCCC